CTTCGGCTCGGTATCGTTTGGGGTTGGGCTTAAGGGAAAGGAAGGCCACGCTTCTCAAAGAATAACCAAATCAATATTTACTATCTCTATATCTTTCATTATGCCTACGATTCATCACCTGATGAAGTTTTGCCAAAAACAAATATTCTAACAGTGCCACCCCATGATGTTCATTTGTATTTTGGGCTCGGTACCGTTTGGGGTTGGGCTAAAGGGAAAGGAAGGCCACGCTTTTGGACCCTCAAAGAATAAGCAAAACTATATTTACTATCTCTATATCTTTCATTATGCCTACGATTCATCACCTGATGAAGTTTTGCCAAAAACAAGTATTCTAACTGTGCGCCCCCATGGTGTTCATGCATATTTTGGGCTCGGTGCCGTTTGTGGTTGGGTTAAAGGGAAAGGAAGGCCACCCCTTGGTGGAATATACTGGGGTACCCTCACAAAATAAGCAATCCAATATTTACTATCTCTATATTTAGTAATTTATGCATACGATGAATCACCTGATGAAGGTTTGCAAAAGCAAATATTCTATGTGCCCCCCCCCCAAAAGGTGTTCATGAATATTTTGGGCTCGGTACCGTTTGAGTCTCTGGAGAATTTGCTGTATATGAAATATTCTATCTGTTTGTGGGAGAGGGGCATGGCCCGTCGGGCTGAGCATTTGAGCTCTCTGGTAAATGCGTGTGTCTTTCTTAGGGGGACCCCTCAAAACGGTTGGTTTCCGTTTGGTTTTGCATATACCCTTGAAAGAGAGACGGACCCAAATGGAAAATCATGGGACCCGCAGCCACATGGTTTACTGAAAGCCGTACATAGAAACATCTAGCAACAGGCTAGCAGCTAGGACATTTATCGCAGAGTAGTTGTTCATAGCAGAAACCCTTATTTTGAAATATTCTATCTGTCTGTGGGAGAGGGGCATGGCCCGTCGGGCTGAGCATTTGAGCTCCGAAAAAATGGAGAAGCCATGCATCATGCATTCCTTTGGCAAATGCGTGTGTCTTTCTTTGAGGGGACCCCTCAAAACGGTTGGTTTCCGTTTGGTTTTGCATATACCCTTGAAAGAGAGACGGACCCACATGGAAAATCATGGGACCCACATGGTTTGCTGAAAGCCGTATATATATATATATATACATATAAACATCTAGCAACGGGCTAGCAGCTAGGACATTTATCGCAGAGTAGTTGTTCATAGCAGAAACCCCTATGTTGAAATATTCTATCTGTTGTTTTCTTATTTTGAAATGTTCTATCGGTTGTCTTCTTTTTGGTTGAAACATTCTATCTTCAATTTTTTGTTTATTGTAGCTGACTTTTCCTATTTATTCTAACTCATTTTTTGATAGACTTTTGACATGTGCATTTTCATTTACTCTAAAAAATATATTCTAACTGCTAGCCCGATACTATATGGGTTCCGCTACAAGTGGGTGCAGTGGTGAGGGATAACTCCGGGCAACACACATTGACATGGAGCGAAGTTTTGGACGTGAGACACAGCACTCATGAGGTGCTGGAAAGGTGTCCTGCGAGATTCCCTCTCCGGGCATGTTGCAGGTCTCATGGGGCATGACAAGGACTGTGGTCATTTGGGTGTCTGATTTGTTGAGGATACCAATGTTTGTGGGTGGCTGAATGGGAAATCAACTTTTCTTCTTCTTTTTTTTTGGGGGGGGTTCTCCTATTTGGACACATACTCACATTCCTCTGGAATGGTTTGAGCATCTTCGGGAAGTCGGTTAATATCGGCCGCGACCGCTCTCGAGTGGTTCCAGGGCGTCTCCGTCTGGGCTGAAGTATCCCTCGTGGATCCCAGATACCATAGGTCCTTTTGGTTCTGGCAGTTTTAGTTTGGGGTACCTACCCCCTACTCCAAATACCCACTTTTTCTAGGGTACTTTTTGAATAACCTGGGTTTTTCAGGGTAAATACCTCCTTTTTTAGTAGAGGGTCGACATGATACCCTAAAAAAGCGGGTATTGGGTGTAAGGGGTACAAAACCATTTGACAAAAAGGGGTGGATCCCTTGGTTACCTGTGGAAATGGACCGCAGCGTTGGGCCCCGGCTCAGGGAATTTGGACCGAGCTGTTCACCTCCAACTGCGACCTTCCCGCCCACGACTTGTCGAAAAGGGCGGGGGTGTGGGGGGGACCGGACATTTCTTGGCCGGCAAGGCCCAGGTAATTCTCCGTGGTGTGCCTTCCCCCCTTTTTTTGTTTTTTGCAAAGAGACCAACAGCAACTTGGCAATATGCAATTTTCCTCACTGTGTCGTCACGGTTTTGCACATATGCGAGCTCGAGGTGGACTTGATCCCGGTCTGGATTCACCAGCCACTATTGCAAAATGTTGACAATTGCCCCAGAGAAACAAGCACTTGCCCCAAGCAAATCGGCCAAACGTATTTTTTTTGGGTCCAGTCCTCATAGCGCCAAAGGTCACCATGTTTGTTCAGGTCTCGCGGGCAGGAGAGAAACTTGCGCAACTTTTCTGTGGATTGCATCCAGCAGAGGCTCCCTGACGCTTGCCATGTCGGGTCAGTCTAGTCTGAGGCCAATTTGAGTAGGAGGGTTGAGCAGACCTCAGCTCCATCCAACAAAGCAAACAAAGTTTTCTCAGAACTTACCGTTTGTCACTATAGTCCGTGTTTTCCTTTCGGTTGATCCATCGTAAAATCCTCGAATTCGTTCGTTCCTCGTCTTGACCCGCCCTTGAAGTCACACAGGTGCTGGCGAACTTGCGAAAAACATGGGCCTTCTTGTCGTAAGTCTGGCCTTATTGAAGCTGGTTGCAGGACAACGGGGGCCATGTTTCGACGATCAAGTCAGTCTCTGGCTGCTGGCAAGTGATAGGATTTGCTCACCACTGGCAGGATGATCAGTGAACCATGCTGGGGCACATTGCATAGGATCGCGTGCCCTCCCTCCCTCCCTCCCTCCCTCCCTCCCTCGGCCTCCCCCCCCAAAAAAAAGAGACTCCGCTTGCTTCCCACGCGGCTCTGAGTTTTAATACTGTGGTTGGACGAATTCCTGCACCACCCAAGAATCACTGGAATGATTCGCTTCCCTGTAACCAACAAACACTGGTCTCCCATGGTTTCAACGTGGTGCAGAGTGGATTTCGCAACCACCCCCAGTAGGGAGCCACACCATCGGTGGACATCAAGATCTCAAACTGATCTGTCGGAGCCCCTTGGAAGCCGCTTCGGGATTTCCTTTCAGGAAGAGACGCCCGCGGTGATGTACACCACGTGCGGGACTCGATGCGTCCATGAAAAGAAGTACCCCCCGACTCCGAATACCCACTTTGTCCAGGGTACTTTTTGAATAACCTGGGTTTTCAGGGTAAATACCTCCTTTTTTAGTAGAGGGTCGACATGATACCCTAAAAAAGTGGGTATTGGGTGTAAGGGGTAGACACACTGCCTTCATTTGGCCCTGCCATCCCCTGCCCGCACGGGGACTTGTGTCTACTTTCGTTCCGGTGTACCATTTGTTCCCATGATGCCACTGAAGGTTTGTGCCCAAAGCCCCGGGTTGCTCCTTCTGCATCACGAACCTTGACCGCCCGAAAAATGGCCGAACTGGGGAGGGGAGCGGTTTGGAGATGACAAACCAAGCTTGGTGTCTGGTGAATTGCAAGTACTGCAATTAACAACGCTGTGAGGTACGACCGATTCGACCCTTGAGACTTCTTTCCTCGTTGAAGCTAGGCCATGTTAGAAGTCAGACTTTCAGCGTAAAATACTGACCCGTGCATCGAGGTTAACATCGGGGGCGTTCCTTGGGATCCTTGGCTTTCCGCCAGGGTTGGCTTGAGACGAAAAAGGATGTGGCGAAGGATGATGACTTGACTGCAATATACTGAAGATGGACGAAATCTTGCCCCACTTTGAAACCATGGGAAGCCATTGTTTGTTGGCATGTACAGGGGGTCGAATCACTCCAGGGATTCTTAGGTGGTGCGAAGGGAGTTTGTCCATCCACAATACGTAAAATATTCGACGAGGCCCTGGATGGCAAGGACATGTCTGACCTTTGTTAGGTCGGCATGAATCCCTACCTAAACGAGTTTTACCATTTCGGGTCCCCAATTGAAAAATCATAGCCATGTCGACGTAGGTAGATGCTGTCAAACAGGGAGTTGGTATCATTGTCGTCGGTGCAGTTTGCATCGGTCTCAGAAACAACCGTTGGCCTTGCACCAAGCGCAACAGTCCACAGATTTGCGTTACATGGTGCTGGGTGAATTATAACGACCTCACACGACATCACCCCAAATGGTGGTTTATGTGGGGAATGGCCCCCCACCTTATTTCAGGCTGGTGAAATATTATAATTCACCCAGATGGTGGGCCTTAGAAGCACACCTGACATGCGGCTTCGTCGCACTTCAGCTCTTCCTGGTGTCCTGGTGCTCTGCTTGCCCCCCAACCTGACCCCACTCTTTCTCCTTCAGAGGGCTTTTCAGGAATGACACACCGGGAGCCAAAGTCGCTATTCCAACCCCCGAATCTCTTTTTGGTTTGGCTTCCCACCCGAAAAAGACGACCCTTTAAAAACCACTTCCCGCCCGAAAAAGACGAGCCTCAACCGCCCGTCCGAGAAACCGACTGTCCACAAACGCCAGGGAGGCGCTGTGCCTCGTGGCGGGCTTCGGATTCGTGCGCGGGAGCTCAGGGAGAGTGCCGCCCCCTCCCTCCCCCGCTCCTCAACCCCTCCCCCCCCGAAAAAAAGAAGGAAAGGAAAAACAAAAAGAAGGAACGGGTGGTGCCCTGTTGGTTTCCCTTCAACCCAAGGCCGCAAGAAAAGGTTGGTCGGAAGTTTGTCCTTTTGGAGTCTCGCGAGATGTTCTGAAGAAGATGATTGGGTTTCATGTCGTTGCGAATCCAAACGGGGTGCCAAGCAAAGGAAAACCCCGCAGTTAGTGCGACCCGCCGAGCGTTCTCCTCGCGCAAGGGCTCGTCGTGAAATGAAAGGAGTGACTGGAGCGGGGGGAGTGACTCCTATGCCGAAGTCTTTGTCTTTTGTGGCTGTGGCTTCTTTGACATCCACCACCTTTGGATCATCACGCCAGGGAAATTGCGCTCTGCCTGCGGCACTTGCGCTGCCTGATTCACGTTTTAGCATGTGGTTCATCTCAACAAGGTGCTTGCTGCACTCTGTACAGTACCTGTAACCTTTGCTCGCTACATTCTCGGCGTGGAGGAGGTGTTTGTCAGGTTGCCAGCTCTCACAATGACTGACTACGTGGTTATGTCTCTAAATCTCCGCTCTCGAGGGCCCGCTACGCGCACAGCAAACAGGCATCGTTCGCGACCTAGCTGTGTAATTGCAGGGTATCCTTTCGCAAGTCAGCGCTTGGATATGGAGAGTAGCATATACATATCAATCTGTATATATATATATATACATACACATATACAAGTTTGTCCATATCAAAGTGTCAAGCCCATAAACATGCAGGTCAGAGTAGGCCAAGTTGGCCGTTCTTTCCGCTCGTTCAGGTCGCTGCTGGTCTTGGGTCTCAAGAAGCTCCGGCCAAGCGTGGCCCGAGAGATGCCTCGAAGCCCAGCCCAGGGGGTTCTGGGAGTTTCGGCAGAAGAGAAGCAGCGACCCATGAAGGTCCCTTTAGAGGAAACAGGGGGCTTTTCCGGGGCTCCCTTTGGAGGAAACAGCGTTATAAGCCCAGGCGTGCCTTTTAGAAGAAGCATTGGCGGCCCTACGACAAAGGTTCTCGTTGCCCTTCCAAGTAGCCCGGTTGAGACGCTTCTAAGAACTGGATGCTTCTAGAAGAGGGTTCCTCTACACATAGTAAGATCTGTTGGGGGTTCTATATAAAGTCTCCAGAAAGTAATCCCTTCCAGTCAACGAAACATGCCAGTGGTGACTTGTGCCCTGAGCACAGCGCTAAAAAAAAAGGCACACACCATTGACATGAGGCCCCCCTGACGCACCCAAATTCCGAGCGAAAACGATGGACTCCTTTTGGGTCTATTTTGATTGGACACCAATAAAGACCGTTCACATGGGGACCAACCATAATTGACATACGACCAGTTGGTGACCGTTTTGCCAACTCTTTCCTTCTCGGGTTTTCATCATTTTCTCAGCCAGCTATAATTTTCCGTTTGGAGCACGTGGTTGGCAAAAAAAAGTATGGGAATGGTCAGACCCTTATGATTTCGTAGACCTCCGAGTTAGCTGCAATGATGGCTCTGTGCCTCAAAGGTTTTCGGTTTTCCGAACGGTTTTGAAATGGTAACAAACGGGCCACAAACCACCTGGCATTTGGCATTTTTGCGAGAGAGGCCTGCTTGGCTTTCTTTGCTTCTTGCATTTTTACCCCCCCCCCCCCCCCCAAAGTGGCGCGACAAGTGGAGACTAAAAGCAGTTCACACGAAGTTCCATAGCCTGCTCAATTCAATGGAGTCCCACCCGTAGACGTGCATGGTGATTTTGGGATTGAGTGCCTGGTGCTATTATATAGAGGGTAGACGTGCATTTGCTTAAGACTCTTTTTACATCCATTGTCCTTTGTTGATTCTACTGCCGGAAATATCGTTAGTTTTCCAAAAAAGCCTCAAGCAAATGGAATGGGACACCACGTATCCAAACACCACTCGCTTTTTCACCTTCGAGACGAGGCAGGAGCCCCTGCTGTGAGAGCGGACGCACGCATTTCGGAGACGATCCGAGGTTGGCTGACCCACAAGATCCCAGTTCTCCATGTGCTCATGTGGTTGATCCATATTCCTGGCCAAAAGGCCATGCGTCATTTCGTGGAACATATCATCTCTTCTTAGTGATTTTTCAAGGGTCATCCCATGTAAAGGACGCAACTTCCATGTGCTCCACAGTCTTTGAGAACCTCGTTGGGTCGAGGAAGGTAGCGGAAGGTGATGTCAGGTGACCCTACCTTCGGAAGTTGTTTCTTCTCACTGAGTACTTGTGAGTTGTGTGTATCTGCATGTATCTAGCAGCAAGATACGGCAACACGTGTTACATAATGTGTTTGGTGGATGATGTTTAACGAACACATCGGCGAGCCCTGACTCCCCCCGCCTTACTGAGACTTGCAAGAATGACTGGATTAGTAAGACATGTTCATTTGCCAGGGAAGCACAGAAGTGTTATGCCTGCCGATCAAGCAGTTGTTTTCTCAGTACCATGTCGATGTTTGATGGCGTGCACACGTGTGTGTGTGTGTGTACCCCCTGGCGGCCGGAAAGGGGCTGCTTCGGCAGTAGGACCTTCTTTGAAGATTTGTGCTTTTTTCACGAGGGGGGTAAGTGGGCATCGAACACGGTGGTAAAAGTGCCGTATACCTGCGAATTTTAGTCCAGCCTTGTTTGATCTCCGCAACAGGTTACCCTCTCGTTCTTTTCTTCGCTTTTCTTGAGTTGAATTGTTCGACGACGTTGGTTGACTCGGAGTCCCCTTTGTCACAACCCTGTCTTCGACTTCTACGCCAATTTGCGGGAATTCCGCGCAGGCCTCTTCCAGAGACGCTTATAGAAGTGGACCACGGATGCCCGGTCGGTTCTCCTGACAACTGTGTGTGTACGTAGGTGTGTGTATGTGTGTGCGCATGTGTGTGTGTGTGTGTGCCGTGCGCGTGTGCGTGTGTGTGCGAGCTTGTGTGTGTGTGTGCTGTTTCTGTGGCAATGTGAGCCCTGCTCTGCATGGCTATTTTGATGTATGTTGATCATGCTGCTCAGGCGGGTAGACAACTTTGTCGTGTTTACATATTGCTCTTGCCCTTCATAGGCAGAAGGAGGAAGGGAAGGTTGTTTGTTTTGGGAGTGTATGAAAACCAATGCCTAGGACGCTCCTGCTACAAGGACGGGTAAATGATTCGGGCTATGCCAAGCTCTCCCATCCCAGTTGCCCCCTTCGCCAGTCTTAGGCTGGTTCCCTTAGTTACCTACATGGGCAACTGGCATGGAGATGTCTTATTGGGGCTGTATTGCCTGATTGTGAGTTGTCACTATAGTCGTAATTGGCCCAGAGACGTCAACTCTGTTTGTCTTTGTGAGATGGAGCGGTTGAGTGGACACCGAAGACCTGCAGAACCGGCAAGTCTTCATGCTAGCAAGTGTGGCTATCTGCGTACGTTGATTGGACAGTTTTTGGCTTTCCCCTGAAGGAAGGCAAAAGATGGAAATGCTGGGTATGACCGAGTATGACCTATCGTCTACCGTGCTTTGGAGCTCTCTTGAACTTAAACCGAAAATTGAAGTTCACCATATGTGGACCAGAGTCAAATATGCGATTTTTGGTTTTGGAAGGAAACGCTGAGCTTTTTGTTCACCAAACCAACCTTAGGTATTTGTCCGCTATTCATTGAGATGGATCGCCATGGATCGCCCTCTTGCGGCTGAACAAATCGGCGCGAATTCAGAGCTGGAGTCTCCGGGACCAATTGGGGTTTTCCAGAAGGGACACAAATGGAGCTTTGGGAATCCATCTTTGCCTATGTTACTGTTTCAAAACAGATTGGGACCCCACAGTTGTGGTTTGCTTTTTGGCTTCCCTTGAAACCAACCTGAAACATGGCGGCCTTTTGTCGCCGCAAATTATGTCGTTGTTTGCCTTTGGGTCATTCGGAGACTCCGCAGCTTAGAGTGCGTTGGGTGAGCCAAATCGATTTCGTTGCGCACCAAAGGGCCGGTTTCGGGTGGCGAGATTAGTCGGATCGATGTTTTCCGGTTGTTCGAGGGCATGTGTTGATCTGATCTAACGACCATTTTGACATTGGCAGGTCCAGCATTTGTTTCAAACCCTTCTGAATGGTTGGTCCTATGGATTCGAACCTGAGTTGCCTGTTGAACCCCAGTTTGGTTGAGCAAAAGGAAGGGGTCACAGAGTAGACCCAAGTTCAAGATACCAAAGAGGAAGGGGCTACGATTGTCATATGGAAAACAGAGGAAGGACCCTTCTACACAGTTTTCTTCGCTTCCAGGTCCCTTTGTCTTTGCTACGTGTGAGTTTTTGGGGCTGCGGGCTCGAGCATCAGATGAATGGAGCGAAGGGTAAAGCGATGGCACGATGCCGACTGAAGGATCACGAATGCCAAACGAGCCGAGAGCAAAAGGAGCCCTTCTTCAACATGGTCACATTTGTTTCGCTCCTTCAAGCACTGGAGACTGCGATTTCTGAAGTAGGTTGGTTTCGTTTCTGGAGATAGGTCTGTGCAAAGGCACGCCATGTGGTTCCACTCGAGGTTTTGAGAGCTTGTCCATGTCCATCAAGCATCACCTGCTGTGAGTGTTACAGTGTTGCCCCCTTTTCGGGCGTTTTTTTTTTGCGCCTGCTGAGTATTGGGCCACTTTCTGGGGGGCTACCTGCACAGGAAAATGTTGGCAATGGGATGAAGCAGTTTCGTCAAAGAGGTCCCAGCCACACGCAGTTATGAAGGACGCTCCGAGCACAAGCAGACGGGTTCTTTCCGTGCGAAACGTTGGCCCGAGGCGCGCCAGAAGGTGCTCTAGGTCAAAAACCCAAGATGTGGAATGCACTTGCTGGGAACGCAACCAGTCAACCGTCTTCCTTCCAGGGAGAACTCTTCGGGGTATCGGGGCTTCCAATCACCAGCCACTGTACCAATTGAATCTCAGAACCCCAATCTTTTCACTCACCTGCCAACAGAAGCAACAACCAACAGCTCACCAACAACCCGTAGCCAAAAATCCCATGCGCTCCGCGCCGACCAATACCCCGCCACGTCGCTCGGCAACCTTGCGCCTAGCGACATTAGCGATGGCGCTCTTTGCACTCGGCTGAGATGCAGGCGTCGGATGAGGGAGCGTCGCGTGGTGCGAGTGTGCAGAGCTGACGAAATCTACACAAAGACTGCCCCTGGAGCACGTTGGGTTAGTGGCCTTCGTTATAACCTACTTAGGGGACTAACTACCATGGGAAGTGGGTGTTTAGGGACCCGTCCAAGAAACAGGTGTCCTGCCTGAAGAGGGACCCCAGGTGTCATGTTGGTTTCCTCTCCGAGGAGGCATGGCGCTTGAGGCTATGGAACCTTTATGCTAAAAGGGGAAGGGATCTGCCAACCTCTTATGGTTTTGCGTGTGTGTGTGTTTTCTTTTTGGGACGGACCCGTGCCCTTTTTGTGGTGGTGTCAAAGGGAAGCCATAAAGCAAAGCATCATGTTGCGACGCGCACCCGCGTTGTTTGCTTTTTTCAACCTTCCTCCCAGTTGTTCACCATGTTGTCCTCTGCCCGATTTGTTGCATTCCCGCTTCGCAGGGGGTTCGCCCAATGGCCACTAGGCATGTTCATCAACCTCAGCTTTCAGCAGTGCCTCTGAATACTATCAACCCTCTGGTTGATCAATCGGGCTGGCCCATTCTGGAGGTTCACTTCACTTGGCAGCCCCTAGCAGGCCGTTTTTTTTTTGGTCGGCAAAAGGCCGGCCGAAGTGCAGCCTGAGCCATGAACACGTGTTAGCAACAGCTCTTCACAATGCTTATTGCACGATCGGAGTGATGGAAACATGTTTCCTGCTCTTTTTCCATTTTTTTTTCCGCAGGGGCGGTGTCGCTGAATTGTTTTGCACTCTCTTTTACGCAAGCAAGTCCGAGCTTACTATTTTTAGCACAGGTTCAAGCAAGCTTCCCGGAGATTCGGAGACAAATATGGAAATCTCCAGTTCCAGTCCTTTCGGCCTAGTCCCCAGATCTTTGGAGGGGCTGCATTGTTTCCAGGTGCCTCTCGTGCCTCTCGTGCCTGTCTTCTGGCTCTTGGCGAATCTCGGATGGAAGAGACCTGCACATGGGTTTGGTTTCAGACACAAAATGCTCTTTCAGATGGTGCAAGGGAACCTGCTCTGGCAAAGTTGCTCCCGCAAGACTGGGGAAGCAAAGGACGATCGCCACTTGACTGGTCCATCGAACATCGATATGTCTATACTATACAATGTCTGGCAACCCCCCCCCCCCGCTTTGGGCAGGGCCCACACCTCGGCATCTTCATTTGTTTTATAAATTTAGGTGCATGCTGGCATCTTCATGCGTGCATGTGTGTGTGTGTGTGTGTGTGTGTGTGTGTGTGTGTGTGTGTGTGTGTTTGTGTGTTTGTGTGTTTGTGTGTTTGTGTGTTTGTGTGTTTGTGTGTTTGTGTGTTTGTGTGTTTGTGTGTTTGTGTGTTTGTGTGTTTGTGTGTTTGTGTGTTTGTGTGTTTGTGTGTTTGTGTGTTTGTGTGTTGTGTGTGTTTGTTTTTTGTTGTGTTGTGTTGTGTGTATGTGTGTGTGTGTGTGTGTGTGTGTGTGTGTGTGTGTTTGTGTGTGTGTGTGTGTGTGTGTGTGTGTGTGTGTGTGTGTGTGTGTGTGTGTGTGTGTGTGTTTGTGTGTGTGTGTGCATAACTGCATGCTTGCGTGCGCGTGCGTCCATTCGTGTATGCGTACATGCGTACATGCGTACACACGTATATACGCACGCAAGTACCTACGTACCTACGTACCTACGTACCTACGTACCTACGTACCTACGTACCTACGCATGTATGTACACCCATACATACGAACAGACATACAGTCATACCAACATACAGAGATACATACATACAGATATAATACGTGCATGCATGCATGCAGACAGACAGGCAGGCAGGGAGACAGACATACCCAGTCATAGATCCATTTGGCTATGTATGTTGGTTCCCTGGGGATTGCTTCCAAGGGAAACCAGGGGAGAACATCCATACTCCTGCTAATCAACATGGGTCCCAAAAGGAGGAAAGGAGTGTCCTCTAATGATGGTTGTTTGGGTTCCATGTTAATCTGCAGGAGTGCCAAACAAGCAGGAACACTTTGAGATTTGTGCACACGGGGTCGGATATTCACGTTTTCAGGTCGTCTCATTTGCGCAACGCGAGTAATTACCTGCAAGCAAAAGTGAGAGAAACTGTTCACTTCATTAGTGGTCTGGTGTTTTGCGGATTTTACCTCGGAAGAGAAGCCGCTGACACAGCAAATGCCGCGCTCTCCGAGCCTCAGGACTGTTGCAGATGGCAAGGGCGGAGGCGGCTCCGGGAGCAGCGGAGGCGGCAGCTTTGCGGGCAGGACCGGCATGGTGGGCCCCGCCACGTACGCAGCTTGGCGACGAACTGGGCATCCTCGCAGTTGCCCAGTGGCGCCCTGTTTTCCTTTTTGTGGGAAGGGTTCCTCTGTAAGCTCAACCAACTAAGAAAGAATACCCCTTTTCCCATGGCCACTGGGCATCTGAGTCCTATTGAGGCTGTGAAAAAGTGGAAGTAGCAGGGCAGCACCCCGTTTTGGGCAGATGCCGATTATATGCGGGTTGGCTTCCTCTGGCGTGTGAACACTGGAACTGGACACTCGGCAAGCAGCCTTTATGTTAATCTCTTCTGGGTTCTGCTCATAAAGATCGCTCTTTGCCAAAAGGAATCTTTTCATTTTGTATAGGTCTAGGCTCCCAGTGTCCACTGTAGCCCACCCGTGTTTTTCCGTTTTATCTGGTTTTATTGGTGCTTTTTTGTTGGCAGGCAGTTCTGGAAATCGGGAAAACCGGCCCCGCAGGACCGAGAGAAGGGGAAGGTGCGGGCGCATTTCTTTGGAGCTGGTACCAATTTGCCCTTCTCAAATTGGTTTGAAACCAACAAGACCCCAAGCCACTTTTGCCTCTCTCTTTTTTTTCAGTTTGACACATATGCACACTTTGAGGTAAATCTTTTTTTCAAAAAAAGTATCATGACTCATGCTGTAAGAGCGTTTTACGGCCACTCCTCCATGGGTCTAGTCATCAAGACAAAGAGTATCTTTCCTTCTTCTTCTTCATCATCATCATCATCATATTCTTCTTCTTCTTGCCCGGGCCTATGTTTGATTCCTCTCCGCAAGCACACAGGGTTTCCGAGCAGCTCTTTTTTTGGGGGGAGGTTGACTAGCTATGTTTTTTCAAGGCCGCCTGTCATGTGGGTCATCCGCCCTTGGAGGGTTGTAAAGACGTATGGACAGGCAATGTCGATCCTCCCAAAGGTTCACATGCTTTGGAAAGAATGGGAACAAACAGCTTTTGGCAAATCAACACGTGCTTTTTGGTCAACCCTTTTTTGTGGCCAGCCCTGCAACGGGAGAAATGCACCAGAAAGAAAGTAGATGGCACAGTTTTCGTTTTTTGGCCGGCAAGTAAATGCATGATCTTGCACCTAAAGGGGTTGGCATTGTGCCTCCTTTCACTCAACTGTACGCTCCTCAACTTCGATCGCCTCATTGGTTCTTTTTTTCTTGAGCACGCTTTCCCGGAAAGTTCCAGGCACACAAAGAAGCTCGGATGACGCTTGGGGTTCTGAACAAAAAGGCTAGGATCCTCCACAGCTTTTCATGGTTGCTGTTGGGAAACATGTGAACCATCTTTGCTTATTGTGGTTCAGTGCTTGGATTTCTCAACCACTTAATCGTGGTTCAGTGGTTGACATCCAACCACTTCATTGTGGTTCAGTGGTTGAAATCCCTGAATTGTGGTTCAGTGCTTGGATTTCTCAACCACCTAACTTCTAGACTTCGCCGCTTCCAACGCCAACTCCAAGTTTTCTCCCGTCGCCCGTGGCGTCTGGCGCCTTGTGAGGCCACGCCGGGCGCCTTCGCGGCGGTGGTGCTGGTCTCCTCCGGGGCGCGGCGGCGCTACGGCAGAGGCCCGGGAGGAGTCCTCGGTGAGTTGGGCGAGAGTTTCTCGGCAGAGCCCGTCTCTCTGCTTAACTTGGATGAGTTGAGTTGGTGAGGTGAGTTGGTGAGTTGGGTGAGGCTCTGTGTTGGGCTCAGGAAACTTATAAGAAAAAGCTACGCGCTTTGGTGTGTTTTCAGGTCCCACCTCGGTCGGTTGGCTTGAAAGGTGGGTTTAGTTTGGTAGCAGAGGGGTCTGATAGCTGCGCTCCTTTTGGTTTTAAAGATAAACGGGGCAGAAAGTTGGTGAACGGTGTAGCACTGTTTCGGGTTCGATGAAATCGGTGGATTTGTTTTCCGTTGGTTCAGCCTTGGGCTGAAAGCGAAATCCGTGTCCTGCCTTCATGAAGCATGGGGCTTCAGCCATCAAAATTGTTCCAAGCATTGGATTCCACTGAGGTCATTCTATCAAAGTGCCGTTCCTCCAGCCAGGGCGTGACTTATGGGAAATCAGTTGGTCCGCACATGTGTTTGTAGCGAGCTCACCTGGTAAAACGAGCTTACCCATCAAGCAGGTCCTTTACTCCAAGCTTCCAGATGGGTGGGTTCCACAGGTTTCCATCGGTTTTCGTCGTGGAGTCAGGCTGACATGGGAACCCGAGGGTCCATATGGGTTTGTCTAAGAATGGGGGAGGTTTCTTCGAGTGGGTGGATGCGGGTGGTTTCTATTTGGTGTGGTTTCTCATTTCCTTTGCGGACGATGCGTTCCTCGGTTTGTACTCCCAAATAGTATCCTTTGAACTTTGTGGCGAGTAACCCTTAGCTAACCTAGGAACAACTACTTCCGCCATAGGTTCGTGGAGTGGGAGACGGGGGGGGGTTACTCTCCATGTAACATGTTTCATGGCCGAGGAACACCTTTGGCCAACACAGAATGTAGCAAGCCATTCAGGAACAACAGAATTCGCCTTTTCAACTTCTGGGTAGCCTTCAGAAAACATATCTTATACACATGCGGCAAACCAAAGTTGTCCATCGGAGGGTCTAGCTGCAACTAGGTAATCTCAGGCGGATTCGGGCACCTTGTTAGCCACCAAGCACAAGGCCTTTGGGTTTTCTGTTTCCGGTCGAGTCGTTGATGAAATCGACCTTGAGTATGCAGTCATCAACAAACATGTTGTTTAATATTGTTGATACTCGCCCTTGACAATACCCTTCTCTCAACAAGAAACAATAGATGAAAACCCTAACCCATCCCGAAACGTCTACACCCTAAACCCGAAAATCCGAACCCCCCGAAAACCCGCCAACCCCCTCCCTCCCCCCCAACCTGGGAATATTTCAGGGACGGCCGGACGGCTTCGGAACGTGGCTGTTGACGAAGTCGCAGGCTACAACGCGACGACCCCCGAAGCCTGCACCATGGCCACCCAGGCGAACACCGTTTGGGTGGGGTGGTGTGCGGGGAGGCGGCGGGGGGGGGGGTGGGCGGAGGGAGGGAAGATTGATTCAGGGGAATCTTCGGGGCGCGTTTTTTTCTTTGACATATCTTACCCTCTTTGCAACGATGAATCTTTCGTTTTGGTTTTGCAAACAAGTAGTTTTCCCGAGGCCTCAGCTTCCATGATTCTTTTTGAGAGTGGGATGCACCTGGACTCACGATGAGCTATCCCTCAGGGCAAGTGGTTCTCAAAGTGGCCAACATGCACCCAAGGAGCCGTGGCCTTTGCATGCAGTTGGTTCCGTGGAAAGAATGTAAGTCTTGGTGAGGTACGAGAAAAAATCGAGACATGCCGTATTGATATTGAGGTTGGTTGCCTTTGAGAGACGAGGGATGGGCGAAATGCCCACAGATCAGCAGCGTGTCAAGCGGTTCAGCATGCTAGACTAGATCCCCAAGCTGCAAAAAAGGGCAACCGCCCAAAAAATCGTGGCCACCCGGCGTTTGAGTTGCTTGCAACATCTGGCCCCCGGTTGGATTTGTGTTGGCTTCCCCTTTCCCCAACCAAAGAAATCCGCGAATCCACGCATCGTCGCCCGCCAGGAGCAGATTCAAGACGCTTGCGGCAACCTGATGTCTCAGGAAGAGCAGTGCGCGGGTCTCAGGTCGTGGTCTTTTTTTTGGTGCGAACCGTTTTGGATCAAACCTTGCAGCACGCCCTTCACCATTTTTTCAGCAACTTACACCGTCCGGTTTCCACCCAGGTCACCAGAACAAGCTGCGAGCACCATCTCGGAGCCAGACGGAAACCCTGGAGAGTTTTCGTGGGTTTGAGTGTTTCTTTGACACGGGAAAAAATGGCAACCAAACTTGCAGTGATTGAGACATTGAAGGCACTCTGAACCTGCTTGGTGGCAATCTGTCTTGGACGTGGTTGTGTCTAGCCGGTTTTTGCTGAAAATGACCGGCCAAAACCAGGGTTGCTGTCCCCAGATTACTAGCTGCCTGATAAGGCTCATGTCTCCGCACCTGCTCTGAAATCCTGGAAGCCTGCAATGGTTTGTCCCCTGAAAGCTCAAATCTCAACTCGGTTGAAGTCCGAAGCTTCTAGCAGCTGAGTGGGACCATAACTTCAACCCGACCAAGGCTAGGAAGTCGACAGGTCAGAAAGTCAGCTTTGGGCAACTGAATATATGTCCCAAGCCTACTTGGAAACTTTGAGATTCCCACGGCTTAATCTGGGCATGTGTCAAAATGGGGAAACCCAGTTCCTTTTGGAACCCTCCCCAAAAGGGAACCCTCACGAAAACTCAGATCCATGTGCCTTAGTTTGCTTTGTAAACCGCCCACCCAAACGACTCTGACCAGCTTCGACACACAGCGCATGGCTTCCCGATGATTTGTTTGATGGCCGGTCCTGGCGGGAAGGGGGGGGGGGGTTGGCAGATTGATTCTGCAGCGTCCGATTTGCGACTCTTGCCCACCCCACCCCACCCCACCCCACCCCACCCCACCCCACCCCACCCCACCCCACCCCACCCCACCCCACCCCACCCCACCCCACCCCACCCCACCCCACCCCACCCCACCCCACCCCACCCCATCCCATCCCATCCCATCCCATCCCATCCCATCCCATCGCATCCCATCCCATCCCACCGCATTCCACCTCACAACCCTCGCAAGCGTCGAGGCTGGGACTGTGTGGCATGCGAGACCGAAGACTGCGTGGAGCTTTGGCCGGAGATCTTTGAAGTTGGGAAAGTTTGAACCAGCAATGTCTGCAGGAAATTGGCTTCCAACCCACCAAAAGCAAGGATTTCTAGTGATTTCTGGGCTGGTTTCTCAGATTGGCAACTACTGTTATTACCCCAAGTTGGTGTTAGATGAGCAGTGCTTTTGCCGAATATGTGGTTGCCTTTTGCTGCAACCTTAGGGATTGGGAACGGACTTGTTTTCAGACTTGGGGAAGCCCGTCTTGTGTGTGTGTGTGGTTGCTGAACTCTTTTGTTTTGGCGCAGCAACAGCAAGAGGAGGAGCACCAGTAACTAGTAGTAGTAGCAGTGGTAGTGACAGTGGTGGTAGTAGCAGCTGCAGCAGTAGCAGTAGCAGTAGCGAGCAGCAGGAGGGGGAGAAGGAGGAGTAGTAGTAGTAGTAGTAGTAGTAGTCGTCGTCGTCGTCATCGTCGTCGCCATCGTCGTAGTCCACTTTTGTTTGTCGCCATTAAACATGGCATCTCCGTGTTTTTCGTCGCAGTTCTCATCGTTGGGTTTTCTTTGTTGTTCACAAGACTGTCTCAGGGTCTCAGGGCCTTGTTTTTGCAGACGTGGATGACGTTTTTTACCTCCGTTAGCTGGATGGAGCAGTCAACAGCTACTGGAGCTCCTGCGAATGCGCGCCTTGCGCAGGCATCCAGGAAACTGCTGCTTGATCCACCCTTGAGCTGCGCTCATAGTTGTCTTCCATGGAGAGTCCCACATAGTCACTTGGTAGGGATGAGTGTTCTGTGGCTTGGAGTGCAGGAGCAGCCGCAGAGCTTCTGAATCTGTTTTTCTGTTGTCCAGCTTTAAGTGCTGGAGCGCTCATCAATGCGCCCCAGTCAGCTTGGCTTCTCCAGCACAGTCTCACGCTTGCGCGAACGTACAGCTGACCGTTTCCAGCCTTGTTTGTTCTGTTTGGGTGCTTTTTTTTGTTTGCACGGGTTTCACACTTTTCGGCCCGTCTGAATGGCTCCTCGGCTTCTTGTAGGCTTCCCGTCCAAGTCCAAACCAGCGAGCCAAAGGTTGTGTCGAAACCCACAGGGGTCGTGCTGAGGGCAGCATCGGCCGATGCGACGAGTTCCTGGCAGAGATGTTTCCGCAGTGCGAGGCGGGAGCAAATGCCTCTTTGATGTGTGCCATGGTCAAAAGACATGTGGTCGGTAGAGATGATGGATCCCAACCAACCTGAAGCTTCCTAACCAAAGCGTGATCATGGGCATGAGACGTTTTGATCATGGCACATGTGGAAGGTGAAAGTACACTTGCACCGACCTTGCTAGTTGCACAGGCCTCTGGGGAGAGCAGAAGCTCGTAAGTTGGGTATTCCTATCTGGAGCGGGGTTACCTGAACATCTTGCCAGAGGGTGTCGGCTTCTGGCCTTGCCCATGGTGCCTTTGCTGGGGCTCTCTCGTTTCAGATCGAATCGCCGGACTCGATTTGAACAGCCCTGACGGCTTCCCAAGGCGGCCGCTTCGATGTCCCCTTTTTTTGGGTTCCTCCGAACAACTTGCGACTTGGTCGGAGCCCAGGAGCCGCTGGATGTGCTGGGACTGGCGGTCCAATACGCCGCTCGCCTCTTTGGCTTTCGGAAAAGGATGCCAACGCATGAACCAGTTGCCCCTGAAATGACGTGCTCGAAGAGTGTCGCGCCGGACCTTTTTGGGGAAGACTGTTTGCCTGGCTCGAAGAGGCAGATACGCAGGTCGAGTCCAGAGATGCAGCGATCTTGTGCTTCGTTTGTGCCTGCCATTCTCCTGTGAGTGCGAAGTAGTTCAAAGGTTGGGTTGAGGGTTGCGGTGACTTCAAGCTTCCCCACCTTGTCAATGCATCGGATTTCAACAAGGAAGGGTGCCTCTCGGGGCCTCTGTTCGTTTGGGTGACACACTTTTCTAATTTAGACCTTTGTGGGGGCAAAGGCGGCAAAGAAAAAAAGCAAAACAGCACCAAAATGGCGAGGAACCATCCCATTCCGAGGTTTGTACAATTCTGTGCATGCCACACGGAAGAGAGAACGTCCCAGCCCTACCTTCTCACCTTCCTAAGGTCCTAACGCACCGGGCTCGAGCCATGCGTTTTGTTTTGTGCCAAGTTGGACACGACCCTTCTGCTTCTGAACCGACTCTTTCCAAGACTTCGGGTGCCCTTGAGGGGCCGGATCTCAGGCTTTGGGTCCCGTAGGATCACTCCAACCCCAGCGCGAGTGCAGAGTGCAGGGCTCGTTGCAGGCCCAAAGTTTTCAGGCGGAGCCGCTTGGAGCCGGTGCCGGGTGAAGAAAACAAAACTGGTGTCCTTGTGTCAGAGACGACCGAACATGGAATTGTGGTGGCTTTTTGGCCCCAAATCCGCGGCCTTGGGCGCGCATGCGGACTGAGGCCGTCTTTGCAGCGCTGGCGGGGTGCGTGATTTACATTTGCTACCGCGGCTGGAAGCAATGCGACTGCTCGAAAGGCCGGAGCAAGCTTTCCGAAGCTCATTCTTCAGGTAAGAGGGTGATGGGGTGTGCGCAAACCTTCCAAGTTGCCTTCTGCCTTTTTGATAAGGCAAACCTTCGATTTACGCGGGTTCCACGAGGCAGGATGGATTCCTTGACACGGTTCCGGAGTATGCTTCGAGGTATGCCTTGGTTACATCGGCCACAGGAACATGCAAGCAGAAGACACATGAAATCTGCCTACAAAACTTGTTTGATTGTTGCGCACCTCTGGGCATACATGTCAAATATCCCATAAGTCCTAGTTGCTATGATTATTTGTCGTTCTACTTGGCGTTGGATGGATTTTGTGATGACTAGACGTGTTTAGAAGTTATCTCAAGCAAAAGGCCAACAATGGCAAATAGCAACTTCGAACTATTGTGAGTGATTCCGGGCTCCAAGTCTCAGGCACCTGAATCCCAAGCATAGCCTTTGGACTCATTGGGGCCAGTAGAAAGTGATCCCAGCTTCGGATTGTTCTTGGTGGTCCAAACGGTTGGGAGCAAGGCTGCGCCCTTTTGATCTCGTTTTGTCCTTCCCAGAGGGCCTGGGGCTTTCAATGGACCCGACTCCTCCATTGGGCACCAAAGTGGTTGATTGGGGGTCTCAACACCAGGCGGTTGCGACGACAGCTTCCTGTCCCACCGCCAGCAGCGGCTGGAGTCCCCCAGCAACCGCGGGGAGCTTCCGGCCGCTCGCCCGCCGGAAGCCGCCGGACGCCGCTTTTTTTTCCTTGTGTGTCATGTGAACCCCTAGGGGTGCTGAGCATGGGAAAACCCCGAAGGTTGGGCTTTTTCGACACCAGGCGTGGGGGATTTCAGGGCAGTTCGGAGGCATGTGGCCACTTTAGGCTTCAAGGATGAAGTCACAGGGTTCCTTCTGCTACTCTGACCTGGCAACTGGATGGATTTCTGGGTGAGTTGGCAAGTGGGTCCTCCAGGAGTCAACAAAAACGGGCACGTGGTTTTTATACAAGAAAAACACATAATTTCAACAAGCGTGATGCCCTGGCGAAAGAAAACATCACAGATGGCAACAGGGAGCCAAGCCTTTTGTCCCCTGTTTGTGACACATGGGTCTGTCTCTTTTAAAGGTCAACCCGCTGTTAGGTTGGCGTTACGTGCGATCCACGTGGAAAGCCGGTCATTTTGGCAGCCCGGAAGCCCCCACCCTTCCCCGGATCGTCTTCCCGAGGCTTCGCTGGCCTTGAAGGGATGGGCGGAAGCGGAGGACGAAGGCAGTGTGCCCTGCACCTACGACCTGACGCTCGTTTTCGTTTCTATGGGCTCGGAATGAAACATTCGAGGGCATATGCCTGTGTTTTTTTTGGCGAGGGCCGCCAACATCGTGGTTTTCCTACGTGGGTTGTTTGACTTGGAAGCCACCGAAGAACAGTACCGTGCCAAGGGTGCCAAAAGCATGAGACACTGCAATTTTCACGTTTCCCTGTTTTACGGGAACTCAGAATGGCTTGTGTCAAGATCTTGGATGTATACAACTCTTTATTTATATTTCTGATCGATCTCGGAAGGTGTTTCGCTTTTCCTCACTTAAGTCGCTGCTGAACAGGTGATCCACTTGCCGACCGGCGCTGCAGCCTGGGGCTTTTTTGGGCTCGTGGATTTTTCAGGATGACTTTTTATTTGACAGGAAATCACTCGTTTTCGGGGTTTCCTTATATTGATACAAACTCGTTTACAAACTCAAACCCAGTTTGGCCCAAATCGGGTCAGGGAGAACTTCTGAGGTTCTTGGCAAAGCAACATGCTGGCCCGGGCAAACCAACCGTGATGCGAAAGGCAAAGCTGCCTTGCGACTCTCCCTGTTGAGTCAACAGATTTATGACTTTGGCTACATTTGGGTTGAAGGGTTTGAGCAGATTTTAGGATCAGAACATGTCAAGCCACCTTTGGGCAGGCTTAGAGGGTGTAGCAATTCGCTCATGGTGAAATGGATTCGGGGGCCAAATCTGGCTTTCAAGCTGAGGACGGTGGATGATGAGGGCAAACTGAGCGGTTCCAGGATGCGGGCGAACGCATCGCCACGTGGCAAAGAATTGGTGGTTTTCGTCGGGGGCCAAGGCTTTGCAGCGACTGCGGCTGCTTTTAGGGCAAAGCGTCTGAGCCAAAAGCAGCAAGTAGGCTATTCTTTCTGTGGCGCAGGTCGCCGTTTAGTCAGTAGTGGAGAAGGCATTTGCCCAGGGGCAGCAGGAACAGCACCGATGACCTTTTGATTTGCCCACAGAGGACAGAGGAGGCTAGTTGGATCGAAATGAGCCTGTTGGAGATACACGTGCGTACTAATACAAGTCTATGTTGTATATACATATATATACATATATACATGCATGCATGCATGCATGCATGCATGCATGCATGCATGCACGCACGCACGCACGCACGCACGCACGCACGCACGCACGCACGCACGCACGCACGCACGCATACATACATACATACATACATACATACATACATACATACATACATACATACATACATACATACATACATACATACATACATACATTCTTACCTACCTACCTACCTACCTACCTACCTACCTACCTACATACCTACATACCTACATACCTACATACCTACATACCTACATACCTACATACCTACATACCTACATACCTACATACCTACATACCTACATACATACCTACATACCTATATACCTACATGCCTACATGCCTACATGCCTACATGCCTACATGCCTACCTGCCTGCCTGCCTGCCTGCCTGCCTGCCTGCCTACATACATACATACATACATACATACATACATACATACATACATACATACATACATACATACATACATACATACATACATACATACATACATACATACATACATCATGCATGCATGCATGCATGCATGCATGCATGCATGCATTTTTGCATATATGCATACATACATACAGACAGACAGACAGATAGGCAGACAGACAGACAGACAGACAGACAGCCAGCCAGCCAGGCAGGCAGACAGGCAGGCAGGCAGGCAGACAGACAGACACACAGACAGACAGAGAGACAGAGAGACAGAGAGACAGAGAGACAGACAGACAGACAGACAGACAGACAGACAGACAGACAGACCTACCTACCTACCTACCTACCTACCTACATGCCTACATGCCTACATGCCTAGATGCCTACATACTTACCTACATACCTACATACATACCTGCATACCTACATACCTACATACCTACCTACATACCTACCTACATACATACATACCTACATACCTACCTACCTACCTACCTACCTACCTACATACATACATACATACATACATACATACATACATACATACATACATACATACATACATACATACATACATACATACATACATACATACATATGTGTATGTACATATATATATATATACATACCCATACGCTATAGCATTGGGGATTGGGAAAACCTTCCGGGATCCAGGACAACAGTCCTTGGATGATGGGTCTGGTGACTCTACATGATTCTCCGGCAGCTCGACTTGGGCTGACGTTGGGGAGACCCTCAGAAAAGAAATGACACTTTGAGGGATCACCTGGAGCCTCCGTGACTCTTAAACCAAGGATATCATGAGCCCTGGATTCTGGGTATATGACCCCGTTTAAAGCAAATACGTGGATATGGCTTGGATACATGTTGCTTTTTCCGGCGCCTGGAGCCAATCTAGACTTTGCTTTCGAGAATTAGGTTCTAGGCAATTTTGAGAACGCTTCAGCAAGAATTGGCTGGTTCTTGAGAATGGTTGGAAGGCTAGTCTTCACATTTCTCGGTTTTTTTCTCGAACACGCGAGAGGTTTCGGAGCCTTTTGGATCTGGGGTGGCTTGAGACCTGGAGGGCGGGTCAGATACCGAGTCAACAGGCGCAACTCAGACTCCTTTTGGACTGTCACCTCTTTCTAACAGAGAATAGACTAGCAAGGCCTGTCAGCTGGAAAGTCGTCGCTCTTTTTTTTTTGGAAGCCAACAGAGGAGGGTTGTTTGCCTGCCCTGTCTTTACCCGAGTCTGCGCAGGTCTTTCGTCACGGGCTATGTGAACATGTTCTCCCAAGTGACTGGGGACATACGCTGGCACGAGCGCGGCGACACGGCGCCTTGGGCTGCTAGGGTCGATCCCATTGGTATCCGACGCATGTGCCTATCATTGCCTATTCACGGCGAGCTCACTTGGAGGTAGAACTGGCTCACCAGGATGAATGACTTTCACTTGGGGACCTCTTGTTCTAGGTGGAAGTATTCTGCAGCATGAACCATCTACCAGGCCTGAACCGCGATTATTTTAGGTATGACCCCAGCTTTGAAGGGTGGTGGATGAGGGGTATGTAACAGAGCCACATCGGACATTCGTTACATACCTTGAGACACACCCCGTTACCATACCCTAGGCAACAAGACCTGCCGGCTCGCTTCTCACCACCTGGTTATGCCCCATCACCTGCCTTGTATAGCTGGTTGCATACCCCCTCGTTTCGCACCTCGATACATAGCCCAGACTGTGAAGGAATCGCGTGTAGAGCATGCTTTTCGCCAGGGCATACGTTTGCAGACTCCGCTTGCAGAGGGCTGACCGTTCTTGAGGAGATAAAAACACATCTCAGTGGAACGGTAGCAAGGACAGAGCGGAGTAATTTTCTTTCTGTGCGAGACTTTGTTACACAGGCGTTGCACGCCTCTTACATACCCAAGCCCAGACTGGGTCCAGCAATCCTTGTTTTGCGCACAGCTTGTGGATTGAACCTTTCATTCTGCATCATAGATTCTTGAGGATTTGCACCACATGTCTGTGACTTGCTTCAAAACGCAGTTAAATATAGCGTCCCTTTCTGGAGAGTTCTGTTTTCGTGGTCATCTATAGCTTGCAATGAATAGTTGCAACTTTCTTGCTGGAGCCGATGAAGTGTGCTTGGTCTTTGCTACACGTTTGACCTTGGTCTGAGGTAAGTTCCGCTATCCTGCCAGAGATCTAGGTAAGGATGGAATATGTTTTTTTGTCATTTGGCCATCCTACCCAAAGGCCCTTAGCTGTCGCCTACATAAATGTGCTAATGGCAAACAGGAACACCAGTGCTCAGTCCTTCCTTGACGCACGCAAAAATGGGTTGCAGTTGATCCAGATCCTACTCTTGAATGGGACGCCCGGCCCTATTAATCAGCCAGGGTTCATGAATGCATGGGACAAGTTCAGGAGGGGCCCAGCCCAGAATCTGCTTTTGCTCCAGTCAGTTCACAAAGAACGGCTTGCCAGGAACGGGCAGCTGAAAGTCTGACAGGGGTGTGCCAAAATAAAAATAAGAGTTCGAGGGTCTGTGAACTTTTTGCTCAGCCAGCATGTTCTGCAACAAGGATTCTGTTGTGTTTCGGCGTGTTGGACAGCAGCGAGCTGCGTCTATGCTCAGCGCACACGCGGTACGTACGGCAAACAACAACAAAAACCCGAATTTTAGAAATAGGTCGACTGGTCTGCTATTTTCTTCTTACTATGCTTACTACTGCTCAAGTGCTAAGCAACCTTAAAAGCTTTAAATCAGTGGATGAAATTGGATTTTACCTCCAATGTCTTCAGCCTCCGCCCGCCCTGCACACATTTATTTATAGGCGCCGTATTGTTGACTTGCCAGTGAAGCTGGCACAGGTACCCTGGCGGTAGAAAGAGAACAGTGAGAAAGGCGCGGTAGAAAGGCACGGGGTATGCAATCTTGGACGCCTGGAGAGAATCGGACATTTCCGTGCTGTGGCCATTAGCACGTTATCAACGCCAGTGGATTTGAACTCTCTTCCAGGCTGTAGGCGCCAAAACTTGTCATTTGTCCTCTTTTGTTGGCCTCGTAAGCCCAAGAACCACTGCCTTGCTGGTCCAAACACCACTGTCTTTCTGAGAGCTGAGGAGATGGAAGTGAGCGGCATCATCCACATCAATGATCAGGGGGCGCCTTGGCGCATCTGAGTCCAAACGGGGGATGTCTTTTCTTGGGCCCTTCTGTCACGCCCTTTCAAGGGCAAATAAAGGTCACCGGCGTGTTAGTTTGACATATTTTGAACAACCTTCAAATGGTTTTCCAAAATTGGGCTGCCTTGCCTTTTAGACCACCCAAACGGGGTCCAAAATGTTGGGACGCCACATGTACCGTGACTTCACTTGAGCACATGACAACTTTAGCACTCAGGGAATGGATGTCGGAGAATACGCGAACGGAGGACATCAGCCCGTATGACTGCCTACAAATCATCATGAGTGTAGGCCTTCAGGAGTGGTGTCTGGGCCGCTGAACAGCACATCAAGTTCCGAAAGGTCGATCATTGCCTGGCCATGAACAATCCGGAGAGCTGCGTCTCCCTAGAGGAAGGGATGCAACAAAGTTGTAAAGCCAGGCAACCAGGTTTTGGGCAAAGTTCCTGTAGACCTTCCTGTTTGGTAACGCCGGAATCAGGGTTAAGCGCCTGGATCTCATAGGGGAAGCCCCTTCCTCAAAACGAAGGCCGTGTTTCTCTTCAGTTTTGCTTTTGAACAACTCAAGTGTAGCCTTAAAGTTCTTGTATGGGGGAGAGTCGCATTTGTACCACAAAAACCAGGGGACAACCCACAACTTCCGCATGTCCTCGATCGACGCCCCCTCTGCCATGGTCAAAACGAGTTCTTGGAACCGCTACTTTGGGTGTGTCTTTCTTTTGGAGGGTAGCCTTTTCGGAGTGTTTCGAAGGGAAGCCAAACGAAAACCGCCCATTGTGAAGGTCATAGAACATATACACATTGGTGCCATGGCCCAAACACCCCTTGACAACTCTTTCAGAGGATTTTCGACCGCCAATGCAGGGGCCAACCCTTTCAACGACTTTAGACATCTGCAACGAAGAAAGGTCGACCCAATTTGGACGACAACAATCCTTAGCAAAAGCAACGGTGGTAATAAGCAACGGTGGTAATATGCGCCCCCCTTGTTCTAGGGGTACCTTCCCCATTCTTTCCAGGGCTCCTTCTTTTCGGGAATCCATGAAAAACCCACGTAAACAAGCCGCTGGGTTTGAAAAGGAGGATGGTTGAAAAGAATGGGGTTGGAATCAACTCCTAGAATTTTGGGGGTTACCCCCGTTTTTAACCCCATTTTCGATTGGAATCAACTGGTTTGAACCCCGGGGGGTCTTGGAGGGAAGCTGCCTGGCTTCTCCAAACCCAAAAGCGCGCTTCGAGGTGTCGGTGGCTGCCACCTGGGTGCGGGAAGACCAGGTTGGGGGGGAGCTGCAGCTGCACTGCGGCGTGACCGTGGTGGGCCAGGCGGCGAGTGGATTTTTTCGATTTGTGGGCGGTAGGATGAGAAGGCGAGAAAAAAGCACTAGGGTGGGGCCACCCATTGGTTTAAACATGTTTAAACCACTGGTTATGATGATTCTTCCCTTGTAAAGGCGGTGGTTAAACCATACTTTGCCCCACGCAGAAACACACGCAAAGCACAGTGGGGGGTGCGGGGGGGGGGGGTTAGGCGGAAAAAAACAGCGGACGGAAAACAGTGGGGCGGGGGGGGGGGGGGGCAAGGGGAAAGGGGTTTGGAAAATGTGAGGTAGCCTAAGATGGTTGGGTTTTCTTGAATATGGTTGGCTTCCTTTTGGTTTCCCAACTTAAGATAGCAACCAAAAGGAGGGGGTCCATTTTTTGAATCACTCAGATGAGCCGAGGGTATGGCTGGTTACAAGGGGCCGTCCAAAGTCCAAAATGGCGGTTGTCGGTTTGGTTGGGGTAGCGAGCGGATGTCGGCCAACGCGTTTGGAGCTCGCGGATCTGGAGTTTCCCCTCAATTGTTTTGGGGGCTGGGGGGGAGGGGAGGGGGAGGGAGCCCAAATAAGCCCATTCAAAACCCCTGGTTCTTGTAGAGAGTAAACGGGAAGCCGAATCCATAACCACCAAGCCAATCCAAACCACCAATTAGAGGGAAGTTGAATGATGACTCAAGTTGAGCTGAAAAGTGCACTACGAGGGCTCGATTCACATGTTCTGTCCTCTCTGTGACTCCTAAAATTGCAAGTTAAACCAAAAGGCCCGCACCAGATTTTGGGGGCTCCTAGTTTGAGAAGTCCCTACGTACTACGGCGTGTCTTGTTTTTCCCCAACAGAATCCCAAAGGGATGGAACTTTCTTATTTTTTTCCGGGCCCCCGATTTCCGGGTCCCAATGCTGGCAGTCGAGAAGCCCCATATGCTCGGATTCTTCCACAGTTCCTGGTTCAGGCCTTTGAACCACAACTCCATGCGCTTCCGAAACTGCTTGGACCTTCTCAGGAACAGTCCAATTTGCTTGTTGGCGTCATGCCGTTCTTGGCAGACCGCACATCCGGCGCAAAGCCGCCGAAGGAAACGACGACACAGATCTGCAAAGACCCGGCTTCATGGGAAAGTTTCTATGGGGCTTCAAAGCCCAGCTCTCTGAGTGCGGTCCGTCGTCCCGCGTTGACACTAGGAAATTCGTGGTTCCTTATATTTGGCTGGGCGGCCATTTTGTTGGCAACACCCGGACTCTTCCACTCATCCCCCCCCTCCTGTCTGGCTAACATTTTTGGGTCGAACCTTGAGTTCTCCTGCGCCCCGGGATGCAACTGAAAAAAGGCACTCTAGAGAACAAGGCACACTCCCTTGTATCCCATCCATTCCCCGAGCGGAAAGAAGGCGGAGACTGAGCTGGAACATATGAGACGGGCTCTTTGCTTCCGACCGGATGTGCCGTGTTTTGTGAGGGCACCCTTTGGCCTTTGGGCGACCTGCAACACCCAAAAGGGAACCTCGGCAACTACAGCCTCGCTTGGAGAAGAGCGGGCGGCGAATTCCCTCAACTGTCCTAACTCCCAGTGTTCCGCTTCCCAGGTCTCCAAAAAATGAGGGGCGCGCGACAGAGGGTTGGTTCTCTGCAGTTTCTCTTCGATGGTTTTCGGGGGTCCCTCAATTTTGGCCCCTTGCACCCCCCTTCCCCACTTTGGTCCTGTTTGAGAGTGCCCTTTTCAGGTTTGCTTGGGGCACCGAAAGCAGATCAAAGCAGATCGGCTCCGAATCGCTTGCGCCGCCAGGCGGTGGGAGCAGCCGACATCCCTCAGGCAGTTGTCCTGGGAACGGTCGTGCGCGACGTGGAGCTGAGCCCCGACCTCCGCACGCGTGCCTGACATTGGAATGTGGGGTCAGCCCGCCGGATAGACGTATGAGGCTAGATACACATCTTTATTAGGGTGAACAGCATTGACCAAACGAGGAACCTGGGCAAATCAGCTTGCTTCCCGGTACTTTCACCTATGTTAGATGAGCTGAGTGTTTAGAGCCGAGTAAGTATATAATTTATATAATATAAGGAAATCGACAAAGTGCGTGATAAAAGCAAGCAACCCAATGTGTATCTAGGTGGGCATGGGTTCCCAGTGATTGCAGGTGACTACTCAAATCTGGGGCCTAAACTACAGTACAGGTGAACATTTGGACCCCACAACGCATAGATGAACATAAGGCAACCCACCAGCAGAACGGGTTGAAAATCAGGAGCTCAATGAGTACACTCACAACATAGCTAAACATTGGGAACCCACTGACAATAGGCGACAATTCAGAAGGAACCTGTGGCTTCAACTTAGGAGCACAATTAACATGAACAACCCACTATATCCAGGTACAGATGGGTAAAGTTGATATTCTCATGCATTTTTTTTTTAATGCCCTGCCCTTCACTTGCGGAGAAAGCTCAAACAACTGGTGCCATCTACTTTGGTGTAACAATTATTATCCAACCAGAGGAGAACAATGTGAAGACTGCAGTTTCGTTGGGTTTTGACTTGGTTATGCATTTCTCGCAAACAGACATGTTCGCGAGTGGGTGGTGTGTCTTTTAGGGGACCCTCAAAATGGACCGGGAAAAAAAGCTCCCTTGGCTACTAGCTGATTGACCCAGATCTTTGGGTTGCCATTCTCGTGGCGAGCACAGTCAGCCCGTGGTTGCCGTTTGCCTTCGGAAGTTCGGAACATCCCAATGCTGACTCAGCCTTGAACACCTGGCGTGTCTCAAAATGAGGGAACCAACATGGTCTCAGGAGGTTTCCCCTAGGTTTGTTTCCCTTGAAAGCTGCCCCCGGACAACCCTTAAAAAGGGCACCTCGGCGCTGCCCGTTGAATCCAGGCTCGTTGAATCCAGGCGTCCTCTCTGAGAGTTTTTTTGCCATGTGGGGCTTTTGGTGATAGCAGAAATGTCCACAAAAGGGGACAAAATGAGCTCCTCTACTTGACTGCTATTGGGCAACGGATCTTTAGACTTTACCTTTTTGGGAAGTCAAGAAGTTTTCCACTAAACCCCCAAAAAGTTAAACTTTTTGCGGGGGGGGGGGGTCAACAACAACCAAGTCTACCAGACAGAGGGATTCCTGATGTACTCGTGAATGTGTGACGGTTCACGCCACTCAGATCTCTCCTCATAAGGCTTGTGGGAAGAGGCCCAAACGAATGAAAGGCCCAAACGTGCGGCTGGCGTCAACAGCAACGTGGACGTGGGTATTGAAGCCACAATGGTAGGTGTTTTTTTTTCCCAGCATTCATGGGGTTTCGTCCATCCCAACTAGTGGATCCACAGTTGAGATTGTATGAATTGAACATCAAGAGGAAGCTATTAATAATGAGGGCTTACCTTTTTTCGAGGATGCCCTTTGTGGGGTGGGGTGTATGGGAGTTCAAAAGGGAAACCACTCAAAGGTTCCCTTTTCAGACAACCCCATACTGCAGAGAAGGCGCTAGCCACTGCCAAAGGGTTCTTCAAAGAAGACCCTGGGCTATGCCAAGCAGTATCCAGACTGCCCGGCCCTTTTTCCCCTCAATCCTTTCGTTTGCAGATGGGTAAGTCAGGCACCCACCTTTTTCAGAAGGGAAGGCAGGGCCCCCAGGGCCGGGCAAGGATTCTGGGATCCAGGATCTTTATTTGAGCCAGAATCAAAACCTGGGTAGATGAAGGTTAGTAAAAAACAATCCCAAGCATAAATAGCTGATCTCCGCCTTCTTATTTCTTTACTTGGTGGGTAGACCATTTTAATACCGGGTTTTGATTGTGACTCATAGCTTCAGCTCGCTGACACGAATCGGTTTCCCTTCTCAGTCCCGTGCGGAAGAGCGAAATGCATTCGCGCATTCGCTCATTCGATCTGCCAAACAACACATGGCTCCCAATGTTTGGAGTGTTTACTTGGCTTTTGACCCATGGCCATTTGGGTATAGGTCAAAGTTATATACCACAAATGGACCGCAGGTTTTAGTCCATGTTTTCATTCACCAGGGTTCCATTTTGGGTACCTTTTTTGACCCATGGCCATTTGGGTATGGGTCAAAGTTAATACCACAAATGGACCGCAGGTTTTAGTCCATGTTTTCATTCACCAGGGTTCCATTTTGGGTACCTTTTTTGACCCATGGCCATTTGGGTATGGGTCAAAGTTAATACCACAAATGGACCGCAGGTTTTAGTCCATGTTTTCATTCACCAGGGTTCCATTTTGGGTACCTTTTTTGACCCATGGCCATTTGGGTATGGGTCAAAGTTAATACCACAAATGGACCGCAGGTTTTAGTCCATGTTTTCATTCACCAGGGTTCCATTTTGGGTACCTTTTTTGACCCATGGCCATTTGGGTATGGGTCAAAGTTAATACCACAAATGGACCGCAGGTTTTAGTCCATGTTTTCATTCACCAGGGTTCCATTTTGGGTACCTTTTTTGACCCATGGCCATTTGGGTATGGGTCAAAGTTATATACCACAAATGGACCGCAGGTTTTAGTCCATGTTTTCATTCACCAGGGTTCCATTTTGGGTACCTTTTTTGACCCATGGCCATTTGGGTATGGGTCAAAGTTAATACCACAAATGGACCGCAGGTTTTAGTCCATGTTTTCATTCACCAGGGTTCCATTTTGGGTACCTTTTTTGACCCATGGCCATTTGGGTATGGGTCAAAGTTAATACCACAAATGGACCGCAGGTTTTAGTCCATGTTTTCATTCACCAGGGTTCCATTTTGGGTACCTTTTTTGACCCATGGCCATTTGGGTATGGGTCAAAGTTAATACCACAAATGGACCGCAGGTTTTAGTCCATGTTTTCATTCACCAGGGTTCCATTTTGGGTACCTTTTTTGACCCATGGCCATTTGGGTATGGGTCAAAGTTAATACCACAAATGGACCGCAGGTTTTAGTCCATGTTTTCATTCACCAGGGTTCCATTTTGGGTACCTTTTTTGACCCATGGCCATTTGGGTATGGGTCAAAGTTATATACCACAAATGGACCGCAGGTTTTAGTCCATGTTTTCACCAGGGTTCCATGGGCCATTTGGGTATGGGTCAAAGTTATATACCACAAATGGACCGCAGGTTTTAGTCCATGTTTTCATTCACCAGGGTTCCATTTTGGGTACCTTTTTTGACCCATGGCCATTTGGGTATGGGTCAAAGTTATATACCACAAATGGACCGCAGGTTTTAGTCCATGTTTTCATTCACCAGGGTTCCATTTTGGGTACCCTTTTTGACCCATGGCCATTTGGGTATGGGTCAAAGTTATATACCACAAATGGACCGCAGGTTTTAGTCCATGTTTTCATTTACCAGGGTTCCATGGCCATTTGGGTATGGGTCAAAGTTATATACCACAAATGGACCGCAGGTTTTAGTCCATGTTTTCATTCACCAGGGTTCCATTTTGGGTACCTTTTTTGACCCATGGCCATTTGGGTATGGGTCAAAGTTATATACCACAAATGGACCGCAGGTTTTAGTCCATGTTTTCATTCACCAGGGTTCCATTTTGGGTACCTTTTTTGACCCATGGCCATTTGGGTATGGGTCAAAGTTATATACCACAAATGACCGCAGTTTTAGTCCATGTTTCAATTCACCAGGACACATTTTTGGTTACCTTTTTGACGTAAAACAATCCGATGGAGGTGCCATTTGGGGTATGGGTCAAAGTTATATAACCACCAATGGACCGCAGGTTTTAGATCCAGGTTATTCATTCACCAGGTTCCATTTTGGGTACCTTTTTGACCCATGGCCATTTGGTAATGGTCAAAGTATATACACAATGGAACCCAGTTTTTAGTCCAGTTTTCATTCACCAGGGGTTCCATTTTGGTACCCTTTTTTGACCCATGGCCATTGGGTATGGGTCAACGTTAATATACCGACAAATAAGGGAAACGCAGGTTTTTTAGGTCCATGTTGTCATTCACCAGGGTTTCCATTTAGGGTACCTTTTATTGACCCATGGCATTTGGGGTATGGGTCAAAGTTATATACCACAAATGGACCGCAGGTTTTAGTCCATGTTTTCATTCACCAGGGTTCCATTTTGGGTACCTTGTTTGACCCATGGCCATTTGGGTATGGGTCAAAGTTATATACCACAAATGGACCGCAGGTTTTAGTCCATGTTTTCATTCACCAGGGTTCCATTTTGGGTACCTTTTTTGACCCATGGCCATTTGGGTATGGGTCAAAGTTATATACCAACAAACAAGGGCATGGTTTTAGTCCATGTTTTCATTCACCCAGGGTTCCCATTTTGGGTACCTTTTTTGACCCATGCCCATTTGGGTATTGGTCAAAATTATACCACAAAGGGACCATGGCCATTTGGGTATGGGTCAAAGTTATATACCACAAATGGACCGCAGGTTTTAGTCCATGTTTTCATTCACCAGGGTTCCATTTTGGGTACCTTTTTTGACCCATGGCCATTTGGGTATGGGTCAAAGTTATATACCACAAATGGACCGCAGGTTTTAATCCATGTTTTCATTCACCAGGGTTCCATTTTGGGTACCTTTTTTGACCCATGGCCATTTGGGTATGGGTCAAAGTTATATACCACAAATGGACCGCAGGTTTTAGTCCATGTTTTCATTCACCAGGGTTCCATTTTGGGTACCTTTTTTGACCCATGGCCATTTGGGTATGGGTCAAAGTTATATACCACAAATGGACCGCAGGTTTTAGTCCATGTTTTCATTTACCAGGGTTCCAGGGTTCCATGTTTTCATTCACCAGGGTTCCATTTTGGGTACCTGATTTGACCCATGGCCATTTGGGTATGGGTCAAAGTTATATACCACAAATGGACCGCAGGTTTTAGTCCATGTTTTCATTCACCAGGGTTCCATTTTGGGTACCTTTTTTGACCCATGGCCATTTGGGTATGGGTCAAAGTTATATACCACAAATGGACCGCAGGTTTTAGTCCATGTTTTCATTCACCAGGGATCCATTTTGGGTACCTTTTTTGACCCATAGCCATTTGGGTATGGGTCAAAGTTATATACCACAAATGGACCGCAGGTTTTAGTCCATGTTTTCATTCACCAGGGTTCCATTTTGGGTACCTTTTTTGACCCATGGCCATTTGGGTATGGGTCAAAGTTATATACCACAAATGGACCGCAGGTTTTAGTCCATGTTTTCATTCACCAGGGTTCCATTTTGGGTACCTTTTTTGACCCATGGCCATTTGGGTATGGGTCAAAGTTATATACCACAAATGGACCGCAGGTTTTAGTCCATGTTTTCATTCACCAGGGTTCCATTTTGGGTACCTTTTTTGACCCATGGCCATTTGGGTATAAAGTATATACCACAAATGGACCGCAGGTTTTAGTCCATGTTTTCATTCACCAGGGTTCCATTTTGGGTACCTTTTTTGACCCATGGCCATTTGGGTATGGGTCAAAGTTATATACCACAAATGGACCGCAGGTTTTAGTCCATGTTTTCATTCACCAGGGTTCCATTTTGGGTACCTTTTTTGACCCATGGCCATTTGATGCAAGTGTCATTTGCCATGTCAACTCGGCACTGGCCTTGCGACAGATGAGCCAGTCATCGAGACCAAAGCTGCAGAGACAAGGGGTCCGGCACGTTCGCCCCGTGCAAACATGTCCACATAGATTGTGCAACATCAGAAGTGTACAACAGATGCCTTTGCATAATGTAAAAAAGTACATAACATATATATATATATAGGTAAATATGAATATATATATATATATGCACACATATATATATATATACAGAGATGTGCAATGAGCACACAGGCATATTGAGAAAGAGATGGGCATGTGTGCTTGCACGTATTTCAATCCTGGTGGACATGCTGGCGCTGGCACGCCATGGTTGCCAGGCGGGCGCGGAGGGAGGGCCTTGGTTTCGCTTTTCTATCGGGGGCCATTGTTCAAGCTGGTTTTTGCAGCCAAGCCTGCCCAAGCCGATGCTGGTTGCTTGTTTTTGATTGGCAACTTGGCCCATGTTGTGTGGGAGTCGCATTTGGAGCTGGATGTGTGAGGGGGGGTGGACAGCGGCCGCGCCGGGCCTGGCAAGTTGTTGGAGGTGTTGTTTGTAGTGTTGGGAGATTTGGGGTACCCAAGCCGACATATTAGAGACTATTTGGCACAAGCCCCCGCAAACAATGCTCATGGCAAAGTTGGCTGCGCATGAGGTCTACCCTTTCAGTGAGATCCACAACAGCTCTTGGCCGCACTTGCCAAAAGCATAGTTGGTCCGGCAACAGTGCCTGAAGCTCGGCTTCTTCTACCTCGTGCCGACCACCTCGAGCAGAGTGGCGCAACTTGACGAGGCTCCAGCAGCCACTCTCCGAAGAAGTTCCAATTGAGGCCATATTTGGCAATTGTCCCAAAGGGAAACCAAAAGGGGATGGTTTGGTGGTTGCAGACGCTGCTCTGCCCGCCTTGGCCGTGGGCTGCAGGAAAGTGATTGCCAGGAACTCGAACTCGAGCGGCCGGCCAACGAGGTGGAATGAGCTGGACTGGGCATGGCGGGCTGGCTCAGGGTTACCTGCCCGGAGCTGTGCACTGAAAGAGGGGCTGAGGGTTGGAATCATTGCCGGCTGGGCTGCAAGGCCGGAAGTGGCCATAGCGCTTCAGGGATGGTCAGGACCAACCCTTGGACCCCTAAGAAGCTGCCTTGGACCTTGTTAGTCGTCCCTAGAATTTTAGAGAGCATCACCCCCAAGCCACCCCCCGCAGTGGAGCCACTATACAACACAGTCCCTTACAATTCCGTTTAAACAGCGCCTTGCCCAGTTTTAGGCGAGGAAGCCCCTTTTGGGGGTGATGTTTAAAGAGGAAACCATGGGTGCGCGATTTTTGGGCCCAGCTCCCACAATGGATGGGGTTTCCCTTTCGGCCCGGGTTTTTCGACGAGGAAGAAACAGACCCAGATGAGGCCTGCCGTGGGTTTTTGGTCGCCAGGCTGGGTGCCCTGGACGCGCCGCTGGACCTACGCCTTGCGAGCGCCGCGCGCGTAGCGCCAGAGGCCTTGGCGGCGCTGGGCACGTACCGCCCGGCGCCCAAGGAACGCGAGCGATTTGCCCAAGGGACGTGCCGAAGTGGACGTCTTGGAGGGTGATGGTTCAAAGTGGGCGGAATCCAAAAGGGAAGCCCGGGAACAAGAATGGGCCATTCGCATCGATGTTTTGGCACATGGATCGGAACCTCACCAGGGAATTTGCGACCCCTCGGGCCTGGGACTCGACTCTTGTTCGTACATCATGGAATGGTAACGACGCTTCCGGAAATAGAAAAATTCCCCTTTGGGCCAAGGAGGTGCATGTCTAACGCTTTTTGAGATGGGCGTGAGTGCCAAACAACCACTTCTTGGTTGGAGTTCCCTTCAATCCCAGCCAGAAATGTGGCGGCTTTCTAGCAAGCTGAAGATGTTCGAAAGGGACACACCATCCTTTGGTTGCCAATATTCATTGTTTGTCCATTGGTTGGAGTGACGTGCATGAAGGCGCGAAGAACGACTTGTGTTTTAAATTCCTGTGGGAAGAGACACAAAAGGCCCAGACAAGGACCCAAACATCAAAAAACAATAGCAACATAATAAAACAGACTAGATAAGAAATACATAAGACACACATTGATACCAATGATAAAGACACCCAGAGAGGCAAACAATCGAACCACTCATTGATACAAATGATAAAGACACCCAGAGAGGAAAACAATCGTAACATTTCTCAACACTGCCAAGAGTAATGTAGATGATCAACTATATCAATACCACCAATCTGAAGCTTACAAGAACAATTCTGAAGATGACTGATAGTAAATAAAATAGACATGTTTGCGACACATAATTCTCAGACTAGCTCTTGGTGTCAGCGTTCACTCTCATGGTGGGATCACTTCAGCGGGAAGAAGAGTAACATTCGGCCATCGTGGGTCACTTCAGGTTCAAAGGCAACAAAACTTGATCTTGAACGTCAACGTTCGGCATGGTTTGGGATCGCTTCAAAAGGGAACGCCACTTGACTCGAACGTTTAAACTTGGCCATGGTGGGATCACTTCAGTTGCACCTCAACTTGACACAAGCGTTAACATTTGCCCATGATACACACTTTGCTTCTGGCTGCTGGGTTCCTAACAATGCCGCTAGCCTGAACAAGGGCCCCTTTGCAGAAGTGAGTATGTTGTCAAAATCATGGACATTTTCTTGGACCTTGGAAGGCGAAGTTCATTGTCACAGGGCTCTTTGAACATCACCCCAAACTCACTTCAAATTTGCCCAAAAAGGTGTTTTCTAAATACAACCCCACTGGGGACGTCAAGAGAACCCCTATTGGTGGCTCGTTTTCGGGACCCCAAGCGGCTTCTCGTGTTTTCTGCGGTGCGAGGAGACCTGCACCCCTTGCGCTTCAACCAGCGCCACGTGTACCAAAACGACCTTACGGGGTGCGGCCGGTTGGTTGAGTGGCGGTTGGGTTTGGGGTTGGGTTGGGTTTTGGGGTTGGGGTTGGGTTGGGGGTTGGGTTGGGGTTGGGTTGGGGGTTGGGCTTGAGGGCCATGGGGCACGAAACTCGAAATGTCCGGCAAAAAGGGAGGGACAAACCCTAGTTGTCCTATGTCCTTGATGGGAAGCAAATAATTTTGACCGTGGCTCAAAAGGGGAGGGCGTGTACAGCTTTGGATGGACACCAGGGGAAACAGACTGCTATGCCAGCATTTGAACAAGCCAAGCCACGGACAATCTTTGTGTTTTGAATCATCAGACCAGGTGCAAACCTCTGCTTTGCGTCGCCAAACCAAGGACTAGGCCAGCTTTTTGGTTCCAATCGCGCGATTTGGGCGATTTGCGCCAGGCACCTGCTGGCATATCTAGACAAATCCCAGAGATGGGCCCTTTGCTGGCCGAGGCGAGGCCTGGAGAGTTTTGGAGGTTTACCCAGAGTTCTCCATGAGCTCCTGCGAAATGAGTGTGTACATCTCAAGGATATCTCAAGGCTTCCTTTAAAAATTCAAGGCATTTAAGAACAGAATCCGTGTCTTGCTTTTTTTGTTTGGCTGGCAAAAGCTGGAAGAGATGGTCTTCAATTCAACATCACACTCTGAGCCTCTTTGAACGTGCTTACAAAGCGGAAGTATAGGCAATCCTGTACGCAGCAACAGAAAAAGCACAGGGCCAAGTCAGCCCATATTTATCTGGCACAAAGGGGCAGATGTTGAAACAAACGGTAGGTGTCAAACAAGCTGCATGCCGCTTCCGTTGTTGTGAAACGGTCCCTAGTGTTCCTCACTGCAGATGATGTTTTGAGGGCCGTACCTTTTGGGGGGTCCAGCGCTGTTGGCCCCCGAAGCAATAGGAATGCTTTGTATGAAGCAATTCCGGGAGATCCTGAAGTCCCCATGTTCTTCGGTCAAACCGGAACCTCCCGAACGCTTTTTCTCGGCGAGGCGCTTTGCGAAGAAAAGGGCGACCCTGTCTACGCCGGCTAACATGTCAGATGTCTACATAGGTGTTTTTTTGAGGGAGGGACCAACTCCTTCAGGATTGCAACCATCCAAAGCGGGAGCCCCAAGCAAGAAACACCCGCAGGGTGCCATACCAGGAGGAGGGTTCCAGTGTTCTTTCTTTTTTGAGGAAGATGCAGCTATTGCTGAGAAATAAGCCAAACGTGGCAGGAGAAGCCCAGAACAAGCAACACACGGCTGTGGGTAGAAGTCATGATTGACAAGTACCCCAAGACAATCACTGAGGACTACTCCAAAGCTGTTGTTTAGGGTAGACTGGATATTCAACAGACTCAGACATGGGGCAAGTATCACCCAGGGGCTCGGCCTTCTAGCAGTCCGTGGCTCGGCTGCGCAGGGCCCCGCGACATCGTTTGCATAGGCGAGCGGGCGATCTGACTCACTTCGCCACTGGCCTTTTCTGGAGAAATGGGTATGTGTCAAAAAGAGGACCCCCCCAGACATGCAGAAATTTCCAGTCGGTTGAAGTCCATCCGGGAAAAGTGATCCCTATTTTTGACGAACATCCAAAGAAGGTATTATGATGTTTACTTTTACCACGTGCGCGAAATGTTGGTGAATCTCCACTGGATTGTGGGCTTCGTTTGAGACAAGTCCCAGAAGCACATGCTCATCCAGGCTTACCCTTAGACTTGCGCAATCAGCGCAGACTTGCCTTGAATGGATTGTAGTCGGACTGATCATAGAAGGCAGTTGTGTTACTTGTGCACAGCTCGAGTTTGCGGGGGGATGGCACATGCGCATATATTCTATATAGAGTACCAACAAGAAGTCCAACTCCGGCCGAAGTACGGTCAAGATAGCTCCCGAAAACGGTCGGACAACTATACCTCCCGCTTGAGCGACACATTCTACAGAAGTATGCGAGCCGATGAGAAGCGTTGTTTCTGGTGATGCACATTCCTTTCGGCGGAAACACCACTCATTTTGGTGGTTCCCTTTGACACAAACCTAGTTGGCTGGCCAAACAACCTATGGGGCTGCTGTGCAAATGCAGGACTCAAAGAGCGCTTACATCTCCAGAAAGCTGAGCCACCCTACTTGTCAAGAAATCTTTGCATGGAGGCACTGAGGGATGCTGTGCCCTGGACAATTTGTACAAGGCTTGGAAAGGCCTTCCAAAGCGATCCCACACACAGCACGCAACGCACACACACACACACAAGGTGTGGCACTTAATCCCTGCCTGCATGTAGTGTTTCCAACGCCCCCACTCTTTCCAACCTTTCACAACCTCTTAACAACCTGTTTACAGCCGTTTTACCTCTTTTTGTTCCCGGCTTTGTCGAAGGGTCTGATTTGTCCCAGAAGCGGCTCACGCAAGCCGTGGGCATAGGAAGCTAGCAAGAACCCCCTTTTTCGTGGGACCCCTGTCCGCTTCAACGACTCCAAGACGGCAAGTACAGGTTCAAAGGGAAACCAACAGGGAAACCATCGTTTTGGGAGCCCTTGGACCCCATTTCGCTACATGCCTTAGAGGAATTCTTCTCCCGCTTTGCACGCGGCGAGGCCGCGGGCCTGCAAGCCAATGGCCACCTATGAGGCGGGAAGATCCTCCCTGGACTTCAATTCTCAGGTCTGCCAAAGGGTCTTTACTGGGCCGGGATTTCTTTACAAAAGCCACCCTCTGGACGTGAATCCTCATACTAAACTGTCCCCACTGGAATGGGGTTCTTTTGCAGACGCCGTGAGATAATTTCGCCCCTTGCAGGTTTGTGGATGGTAAGAAGCCGCAGCCTGCGGTTTTGAGTTTTGGCTGGTTAGGCAGACATAGACCTCCTATCGGGTGGTTTCGAGAGTCTGAGGTACCCTTACCGTGGTGAGCACTGCCCCAGAGGCCACGGGGGAAGCGAAGCGCATTTTGTGGGATCCTCTCTTCAGGTCCATGTGGCTGGGGCTCAAAAACAAAAAACCCGGAACTCCAAAATGGCTTGCCCGATCGGTAAGTGGAAAAACATGGTGGCCAAAACCTGCGGAGCCAGCCCCTCCTCGTTAATTTTGAGCCACACCCAAATTTAAGAAAAGAAAGGACTCTGCAGGGTGTCCTTCAAAAAGCTCCAAGGTAAACTTAAACACATGCTTTTCCCCAAACCTGGAACCCAGTGATTCTATTTGGTGTAGGCTCATAGTAAGGCCTGTATAAATCTTGTCCAAGGGTCTTTCTCTATCTGGGGGTAGGTTGCAAAGGAACACCCAGAAAACCAAGATCTTCCAGCCTAAAAACCATCAAATCTTGCAAAGAAAACCGCCATTTTGGGGGAGTTCCAAGCTATTTCCAGACGCCCAAAGCTTGTTCGAAGCGAAGGCATCCAGTGGCTCGCCTTCGCGAGGCCTTGGAGCTGGAGCGCACCTTGTGGCCACTCGGACTCGGTCTGGCTCTCTGGCTGTGGTTAAAACCGTTTTGGGAGTTTTTCATTTTGGTGGGGATTGGTGAATTCACCACCCATTTTAGGTTACCCATTTGGCTGTGGGTCAAAACCAATGGTACCATTTTGGGGTAGGTGCACCACCCATCTTAGGTTACTAACCCATTTTAGTGGTTGGATTGGTTCGGATGTTCACTGGGGCTAACCGCTTTGGATTTTGAAAAGCCCATGGCCAAATGGCCGGGTCTTTCTTTCGGGTTTCGGGGTACCCGGTTCACGTTTTTGGAGGGAGCCCTAAAAAGAAACACGACAAGCCCAATATGGCCATTGGATAGGGAGCCACCTGAAAATGGTTGGTAGACTTGAAGCCTCACCTAAATGATGTCCACCAAAGGGCCCCAGAGATTCACGCCCATGTGTGTCAGTGTGCTTTTTTTTGGGGTACCATTTGGAGCATGTTCAGCTTGGTTGAAAAGAGAATAGTTCAAGGGGAACCAAAGGGAAAACCACAACTGTGAGGGTAGCCCACACACACACACAGGGGGGGGGGCGCTGTTGGGTGGCATCCCATGTTCCCAAGTCACAAACGGCCGGTGGAGATCAGAAAGCGATGTTCAAAATATGGGGAGCCAACACCTCTGTGGTTCCTAAAGCTCAAACAGATACACCCAATTGAGCCTCAATCATAACCCGGGTAGATTTGTTGGTTAGTAAGGGACAATCCCAGCCATAAATAGGTGCGGATGTCCGCCTTTTCAGTTCCTTACATGGTTCTGGGTTCACCATTTTTGTACCAGGTTTTGATTATGACTCAATTTGCTTTCTATGCAGGGAAGGATGAGAAGACTACTTTAACCTGGGGTAAACACTTCACAACTGAGTTGACGGCGGTTTGGGAGAGAGAGAAAGTCCTAAGTCACTTGCCGAAGGCTCCGAAGGCTCTGTGGTCCGACATTGCGTGCTGGAATGGAGGACTCGTAATGAATCTCGCTTGATTTGCTTCTAAGCCTCCCTTTCAAGCCATCGGGGGGTGAGCATTTTAAGATACCACAAAAGCTGCCTCTAGGTCTGACAGTTGCTTTCAGGGTCGGTATTTCTGACAGGTACCCAAGTACACTATCACCAAAGATCTGCCATATGTGTTCATGTGATTTTGGGGCGAAGAGGAAGCCTGGACGTCAGTTTCGACTTCGTGACCCCAAGTGGTTGGCCTAGACCTGCAGCCATGTGCAATCAGGTAGTAATACTTGGTTGCCTATGGCTTGACTGAATGACTGAAGCCACGCTTTCAACCACCTAGGGGTTTAGAGTTTCGAGACTTCAGCGAACTCCAAGTTACTGACCTTTTGGCTTCCCTCGACCCCCAGACCTCCAGCATCTTCAGTTGAAATCGAGTACAATCAAATTGCAATGATTCCCTCTTTTCCCACTTTTTCCCACGCCCTTTCTTTCCCCACCAGTGCAAAGTTGCCATTGGGGGCTGCGAGGCTTATACAAAGTACAAAGCTTCATTATCTAGAATCAGGTTTGTGACTAACTTTCCCATTGCTTGGGCTTGCTTTTTTAGGGGAAACCCCTGTTTGGGCTTGTAAAGGGACACCAAAAGACACGCCCATAGGTAACCAGGGGCACGCATGTAAAACCCGGAGGCGTATGCTTTTCGGCTTCGAAGGCATGGCGGCGCTGGGCACTTCCTCACCATGCCGCTGCCTGCGGGTAGGCGCGGGGCAGAAAAAAGGAAGCTGCGGGGGGAAGGCTTCGGTTTTTGGCTTCCTGGGTGGTCAAGAACCCTACAACTGTCATATAGTTCCCAGACCAGGGAAACAAATGCGTATATGTTGTGTTTTCTTAGACCCTCCATTAACACCCAGATTCTTTGGCCGTTGCTTTTGAGTAGTAACCCAGTTTGGGGTTGACAACCCATCTCTTCAAGTTTGGCAGGGTCACTGCGAGCCTGAACCTCCTGTCGGTGCCAGGAGTGCCGAAGGCATCCGCTGGTTGGAAAAGCGAAGAAAGGAATGCCAAAACGGCAAACAGGTAAGAAGGTAAGCGATCCGTCTGGCGATGCAAAGGAGATTCTCCTGCGGAAGATTGCCGAACGCGGCAACTATCCACTTCCCTAACCAACAGGGTTCTTACCTCTTAAAAACACAACTTTTGAACTTTTTGGGTAACATGGGCTATATGTCTGTAAAAGGTTAACTTCCCCAGGGCTTGGAGTTTTAAGGGGTAAGCTAACCAACAGGGTGGCTCCCATTCGAAGAAAGCTCTCCGGAAGCGGAAGCAAGAAGACACCTATAGTTTGTCGAACGGTTTAGTCATGATGAAAAGAGAAGCCGAGGAAAGAGTTGCCAAACCACAAAACCAAAAAAACAACAACAGACACCGAAAAGACAGTTCAGCACAACCTCCAAAAAGCCGAAGCTCCGGGAGACGGAAGCCTCAAGCAAATCAAAGAAAGCTCAGGAGCGAAGAAAGCAACCGATCATGACGGTACCAGGATTACAGTTCACCGTAACCTTAAAAAGAATGTAACGAGTCGTGCGTTTTTTGGAGGGTCGGCGTCTGGCCCAGTTTTGAGGTGACGAAGTCACTGTACCCCAGCAAGAGTGGTTCCCACAATGTGCTCAAGTTGTGGAATTGAAGGCGGGGATTCTGGTGAAGGGAGCTACAACAAGGAGCTTTGACATGGCACATGTGGAGCTGGCGTTTTGACCTAAGGCAGGTGTGTAGGGGTTGCTTCCCAACTTGTTGAACATCAACTCGGTGCAAGCTGTTGTAAATTATGGAGTTTTCTTGCTACCTACCCGCGTACTCGCAACGCGTAGAGAAGCCATCATGCAGCATTCACTAGCACCTGTTTCAAGCTCAAAAGAATGCTATCTCTATGGGGAATGTACATTGACATGTGGGTATCTTCTGAGGCACAGACCACGTTTCCGTGCCGGCTTTTATACCTCTGTTCCAAACAAAGACTCCCGTGGATTGCTTTTCGGCAGTTCCCGGCCTCAGATTTTTCTTACACAACTTCAGATCCCATTAAAAGAATGGTTGAGTGGCGGTTATATTTACCGAACCAGTACTTTATTGGAGGTAACCGCCTCGAAACCTCGAATCCCCCCACGGTTTCAAGCCGAACTTTAGTGATATGCTTGTGCTGAAGGGTTTTGAAGGTTTGTCAAAAGTAGGTTAAAAGGCGGCACAAGACAGCACCAGATCCCTAAAAGGGTCCACATTTGTGACAACACCTCATTAACGAATCGCGATATGTGACGGACAACGGCAACACGCGACTTGCCGTAGTTCTGAAGGCAAACCACACCGATTTGCGGATTTGCATAATAATATCTCACCATGGCACTCCGCACGAGTTTGTTGTATGGTTGCGCAGATGCGCAGGCAGTTCTTCTTCAACCACACGGGCTTCCAGCCGATCCTCGCGGAGTTCGCGGAGGCTGAATCGGAAAAGCCTCCCTTTTTGGTGTGACTTTGAAGTAGGGACCCTTTGGCGAACATCACTTACATCAGGACTTTATGTCCACCAACTATTGAGGGGTGCTCAATTTGAATTTGTCAATCCGATGGTACAAAAGCGGGCAATTCCCGCAACCCCGATCTTGCATGACGTGCATAGGATTTCACTCGTTTACACTTTGGTTCTAATCATGTGCCAGTGCCATCAGTTTTTCCAAAACAACACCTTGGATGTGTTGATCTTTCTCGTCTCACGATTTTGTCTTCAGGCATGTCCAAAGTCAGCTTTCGCGCCTTTGCCCCGAATACCGGCGACATGATACGAACTTTGCTTGTAACAAAGTGGCCCCTGTGCCCCATTGCCGGGTTCCTTCATGCAGATCTTTCAGGCGCCGGCGCGGGTAGCTGCGCTGCTGCGGCTCGGGGAGTTCTTGTGGCGACCGGAGCCCTTCGACTTCTTTCTGGCCGACATCAGCCGACAGGCGCGGCGGGTTTCTTGCTTGGCCGCCGAAAGAGCGGAAGTGAACAGGACTGGGTCAGACTGGTTGCATTCTGAGGGTTCTCAAGAATTCTTTTGGGACATCTCGGACACGGTGGTTTGGCAACTTGCCTGTTAAAGGTGATTTTTGCAGATGTCACTTGAGTGGGCCCAGCAACATGTCCACTTCCATGACAGTTCAAACTCTGGTACTGGTTTGTGTTGCAAGCTGCAGAGGGTTCCGAGGTTGGACTTTGTTAGTCCCGTTTTCAGGATCCCTTGTGCTGAGCCGGAACATGTAAGTTGTGAAGGTCGCTTGCTTCGTCCTGGGGCAACCAAGCCTGGCTGAGAGTTACGCAGGATGTATTAATTGCCTACTGCTTAAAAGGGTTTGCCAGTTGCCATTGTACGTTCTAGTTGCCAATTCTCCATTCTTGCCATTGGCCAACACGCAAGGTAAAACAAGCAACAGCTTTCGAGTTCAACTCCAACCGTGAACATCCGCAAATCATGATTGTCCTCATGGAACTCCGATCGGGAAGCCATAGTTGATTGAAGTCCATGGACCATGTCACGAGAAGGGAGGCGAGCGACTCGGGCTGCTTGCAGGTGGGTTTCTTCGAGCGGCCAGTGATGAACTTGTGGACGATGGGCAGCCACTTCTACCAGCAGGCCTTCGCGGATGCCCCGTGCGGGCCCGAGGCGGAGCTTAAGGACCTAGGGTGCTGACTGTTTGGGGGTAGGGGACCAAATCCATGATTATTCTTAGGGCAAAAAACACAGGATATCAGACTCAATGGGCAGATATTGGGTTTGCAACAGGCGGGCTACACTTCACGTTACCCATGCCCCAACTCCATATTGCACCGATATCCATCGGCAAATCGGAAACAGGCTGAATCTCAGGAAACTCCTGCTTTGGGCAACCTTGCTGGCGTGCAACCAGCCAAAGCTCTTGACCAAGCTAGACAACCATGACAAACATTTCGTCCAGAAACTTCTGACTGCAGCTGCGCTATACTAGACAAAGTCCCGAACACCATCCGTTTGGATAGCCAGCAAACACTATGCCCACCCCCATCAAAAGGGCGTGGTGCACATCAAGTCCCAGCTCAATCACCAAAGGGTCCCCCGTTGAAAGTCATATCCGTGTAAATCTTCTTGACGGCAGCCGAAAAGGTCATGGCACACCCCTCGCCGCCAGTGGTCCAACGGTGGTGTTTTATGGTGTTTTCGCAAAATGCGATTTTGCGTGGGGAACTCTGGGAAGACTTGGGTCTAAAAGTTGAAATAAGAGCGGTTTCGCCCCCATGGCACAGATGAGCTTTTATGCTAGCCCACCATAAAGGTTGGTGCCGAGTCAGAAAGTCAAGCAAATCCGTTGGCCCAAGAGGCAACGGGGGCGCCGAAAAAGTCAAGCGCCACAGGCAGCGCGGCAGGCACTTGCCGCATGTGCCTCACTCACCAGCCACAACTGGAGCAGTGCGACTCTTGATGTCACAATGAGTAGAAGGTGGATGGACATGCTTCCCTTTCCTGATCTAACAGGTGTGGCCCAGTACTGCTGTGAGCGCTCACAGAAGGGAAGAGCCAATATCAGCAGATTTGCATTTCGAACACATGCCGTGTTGCTCTTCTGCTGGCCTGGGGCCAGCCTTGCGTGCTCTTGGCCTGGGTGCGGGCCCTGCCTGGGGTGCAAATGGCTGCCCCAGCTCACTAGAAGGAAGTTTTTAGCCCCTCTTGGCCTGGGTGCGGGCCCTGACTGCCTCAGACAAAAGTCCTCAGCACCTCAGCGCGGTTCGGTGAGGTCTGCGCCCTGCTGGGGCGGGGGCTACCTGCCGCAGCTCTGCTGCGCCCCACGGCTCTCCGCGGAGCGCAGGAGCTGGTGCTTCGGCTCAGAGCCTCGGAGCCTCGGGCAAGCCGAGGGATGGGGCCGCCGGAATCGGAATCGGGCTTTTTCGGGGTGGTTTTGTTTGGCAGGTTCTTGTCTTTTGTGCAGGCTCTGGCAACCGGTAGTGTCTTGGAGATGTGTGGAATTGGATGCTTGATGGTGTTTGGTTGAAGACCTTGTTGTGTTCTAGTAGGGTTGCTCCAAACTCAAAGCAATGACCAAACCGCATGGGTAGAACATTGAAAGACACATTCCTTGAGCCATTTCCAGCGGCCAAGTGTCTACGTCGTTGGAGCACCAAGCGCTGACGAATCCCAGCTGTTTTTTTTTTTTAACCTGCCAGTGTTGGCGGATTCCGCTTCTGGGAAGGGTAGTCCATTTTGAAAGATAACAAGTGAACCAGCCACATCCATCCACAAAACCCTCCGTAAACTGCATTGAACCATCGGGCCTCCCTTGTGCCCCATGCCAAACCAAAGAAGCCTTGCAGACTGTGTTTGGATCACGAAGCTTTGAACACTTTGTGGAGTAACGAGGAGTTTCCAACGTGGTGAATCATCATTATGTGGGAAATAGGGGGGCCAATTAAAAGGGGCGTATGTTGGCGCGCTTTTCTCCTTCCTCTGAACAGCCTCCCAAACGAGCAAATCTGAACGTCCACATGAAATTAAATCGAATCCTATGCAAGCAGCACTCGACGCTCGCCGATGCGAGTGGAAGAAGCAAATTTTGCAGATTGAGACGCGGAAATGGCAGCGAATGTTGCGCTAAATCAAGCCACCATGACTACATTTAGGATTACAGCGCCCGAAAGCCCATTCGAAACAAATTTGCCCTTATTCGGCGGACCCTAAAAGCGTTCAAGTACTCGTGGGACTTTCTGGGGTCAACGATGAAACTCAGCTTTCGTTTGCCTACCCTGGCCCTCAAGTATGCCTTGCACATGATAATGCAAGCACTCTCGAATGTCTCTGAATGTCACATTATGCATGCCAAAGCCATTTGCAAGCATGTGCCTTGCCTGGTTGTCAAGGACCGGGAGATCGAGAAGCACTGCTGCGGGGCATTCCTCAAAGACCGTGTCTTACCTGCAGAGTGTTCCGGGGGTTCTGACTTGTCCCTGGAAACCACGATGGCCAAGCTCTCATATCCACTCGACGGGCAAGCAGCCAATTCCTTTCCGGAGCATCTCGCTTTCAGGTGCCAGTTGCCCAGTGAGGAAGGGTTACTTAAAAAAGGATCCCCTTTTTTCCCATGGCCCCACACCTCGCGGAAAATTCGCCAGGCCCACGGCCGAAGTCCATCGAGGCGGCAGCAGCGGCGCCAGCAGCGACCTTGAGCGTCAAGGTGCAGATCTTTGTGCAGAGCTACCACAAGGAACTTGTCCGCCATGGGCACGTGTCAACATGGCCCCCGCAAATGGTGGGTACATGTCAACATGGCCCCACCCAATTAGCAAAGTAGTTGCTTTCCTCTCGGTTTCCGAATTCAACCTGAAAAGGGTACCGGAGCTCCAACAGTATAAGTTGAGACAAACCCACGTCAACGCTTCTGCCCAGTCACGCAAACTCCAGAAACGGAGGCTGTTTTCACACGGCAGGGGAGTTGTGGAGAAACCCATGAGCCTGGTCATAGAGTTCACAAGCCAACCTATGGCAGGCTCTCTCTCTCTTGCCTGTGAGGTCGGGTGGGATTTTGCCGGTTCGGTTCCTGCAAGGAAACCATGGTGGTTTTACAGGCACTTTCTGTGATACCAACAGAATCCCCTTGAAAATTAGAAAGTAGGCCAGGGAATGACCCAGATTGGTATCACAGATGTCGGGTGATTTCCGCAACCGGACACCCATTTGTCGCAGACTGCTTAGGGCTGAACTAGCCCGGTGTCGTCTTTTCTTGAGACATAGTCCTCTTTAGGGTCGATGAGTTTTGTTCTGTCTTGATATCTTCAGTTTTCTGTGATATGTGCCATGTGCTGTCCATTGACTGGGCAGCTTGCGATGCTTACTCGCAAGAAACCTGTGAGGGACCGTCATCCTCCCTCCCATTTCTTCCTAGGATCCCAGGACCTGAAGGGACCCTGGGGACTGGCATGGGGCACGTCGCTTTGCCGAAGACTCAAGTGCTCTTCGCCGTGGTTCATGTCTTCCAAACATCAGCAAGCCTTGTCCAACCCTCCCCGCACCCCAGTCTTGCCTCAAGCCATGTATGAGCTGCCCTTATATTCCCTTTTTCCTTGGATTGGTTTATTCCTCACTGGTCAAACCTCAAGAATCGCGCCCTGGTCGAATCTCAAGACTCTTCTTCCCGTGCCCTTACTATTTCCTCATTTTTTTTTTTTTTTTTTTTTTTGGGGGGGGCTTAACTTATATTCCCTTTTTCCTTGGATTGGTTTATTCCTCACTGGTCAAACCTCAAGAATCGCGCCCTGGTCGAATCTCAAGACTCTTCTTCCCGTGCCCTTACTATTTCCTCATTTCTTTTTTTGGGGGGCGGGGCTTAACTTATATTCCCTTTTTCTTAGATTGGTTTATTCCTCACTGGTCAAACCTCAAGAATCGCGCCCTGGTCGAATCTCAAGACTCTTCTTCCCGTGCCCTTACTATTTCCTCATTTCTTTTTGTGGGGGGGCGGGGCTTAACTTATATTCCCTTTTTCCTTGGATTGGTTTATTCCTCACTGGTCAAACCTCAAGAATCGTGCCTTGGTCAAATCTCAAGACTCCTTTTTCCGTGCCCTTACTATTTCCTCTTTTTTTTTGGGGGGGGGGGCTTAACTTATATTCCCTTTTCCTTGGATTGGTTTATTCCTTACTGGTCGAACCTCAAGAATCGTGCCTTGGTCAAATCTCAAGACTCTTTTTCCCGTGCCCTTATACTTCAACCCCATTTTTGTTGCGGGGGGGTCTATTTTTCGTGGGGGGTTGGTTTCACCTCGCTGAAAATCCGTCGCTTTCGCTGCTCGTACACGTCGTTTCACCTAGGACCGCTTCGCGCTGGTGCCGTTTTTGGAGTCCCTGGACCTCTTCTGGCCCAGCGCCTGGAACTCCACCGCCCGGGAGCTCGGAGCTCGGGGGATCTCGCGAGCTGGCGGGTGCTATCTGGTTTCCCCGGGTGAATTGAGGGGCCTGATGGGTCCTGCAAGAATCGGGTGGTGCCTGGTTTTTAATATGGCTTTTGGTCTGGAACCTTTCAAAGGGAACACATGTCCAGGGAGAGAAATTGCATGATTTCATGGGTTTGGAGCTATTTGGAATGCCCCTTCCCTCAATTTAGGCGAAAACAATAGCAACGCATCCATGCCCTGCATGCCTAAAGCAGATCTTGAAAGGGAGGAGAGATACAATCGAGCGGGCTAGCATGAGCCTTCAATCAAGGACTCCATCCCATTCAGGTGAGAATGCCATGGTTGCCATGGCCATTGGTGAAGCCTCTAGACAAATAGGTATCCTTCCAATAATCAGCTGACACACGTGTTCTCTTCGAGGTGCTGCTTTTCCCGAAGAAATCCTGTACCTGTATGGACGAGGTTGATCATAACAATGAGGGTCAGCCGCAGGCTGAGATTCTTCGGGGTCTCCGATATGATTTGATCTTAGGTTGGCGAAATCTGACACACAACTTGCGATTTCCTCTGATTCTGGGTGGGTTGGGCCATCTGCAGCTCCGCTTTTCAGACATCAGTTGTTTTTTCTCTTTTTTTTTATGCGTCTTGTTTGTGGTGTACCCTGGTGGGCCGGGATGTGCGCAAGCTCGGTCGTTTTGTTCGGACATCGCCCCGGCGGTAACTCACCACCAATCCAAGCCAATCCAGGGGTTGACATCCCCTTCTCAAATCCAGCTGGGGCACCCAAACCAAGTAACGTGAACCCCGGAAATTCTATCAACCCCTGGTTGATTAGTATGGGGGTTCCCCTTGTAGTGGGGATTCAGACCACTTTTGGAGGGAACACCCCCCCAATAATGGGACGGGTTCTACTTCGATCCTGGGTCTCTACTGGAGGACCTAGTCCCTCAATTTGGGGTATACCTCTAAGGGCTTTTGTATTACACCCTGGGAATGGGTACTACCCTAGGCACATTTCCGGATAAAACCGTGATTTTTTGAACCATGGCCGTCAACATGAGGGAGAACCTGATGGCCCCAAGGTTAAGGGGCAGCAGCCAGAACTCGTTGCGGCCTTCTGAGTTCTTTATATGGTTCTGGGTCACAATTAAACCGCAGGGGACCGCAGGTTTTAGTCCATGTGTCCATTTGCCAGGGTTCTATGTTGGGTACCTATTTTTGACCCACAGCCATATGGTTCTGGGATTGCGACCATTTTAATACCGGGTTTTGAGCAAGTGACTCAGGTGTTTTTGGCCGTGGACCACACGGACTCGGACCGCGCGCTCTGCGCAGAACTGGAGGCGCGCAGCGGCACGGCGGTGCGGTGCATCTTCCCCCAGGCGGTGCTGAGGAGGCAGGGGGCGGGCCTATGGCCTCATGGCCTCAGGTGCCTAAACTAACGGGAGGGTCTGGGAGGGGTCTGGGAGGGGTCTGGGAGGGTCTGGGAGGGTCTGGGAGGGGTCTGGGAGGGTTCTGGGAGGGTGGGTCTGTGACCAAACATGTTAAAAGGCGTCTGGGAGACTCCAGCTTTGCGTTCTTTTTGTTCCATGATGATTTTGTCGTAGAACCCGACCAACCCCCTCACCCTGATGCGCCAGACAAAATAGGCTGTAGAGGAAGCCAGGCGGAGAGGGGGATGGGGAAAGGGGACGGGGTTGGATCCCGTGATTCTGGCTTCTTTGGGACCTTTGTAAGTGGCACTGCCTTTATGACTGGAAGTACATTGATCGATGCCATGTTGCCCTGCACAGGTTGTTTTTTCTCCAAAAATGAAGGATTGCCTCGAAACTGGGACACCCCCCATCAACCAGGAATGTGTTGCGGGGTCAACATCCTAACATATCTAAGCTATGGCTTGCAAACTTCGGACCAGTACCCGTCAGTGTTGGGTTTGGGGCTCAGCATAGTGTTTCCAGACTGCCGGTCAACATCCCAAAGACTTCGGTCCGGCTCACTCCAAGCGCGGAGGAAGTCGCGGGTCGACTCCATCGAGTGGAGTGGCCGATCAGTCAGCAAGAGGCGAGCGACATGTTTGACCCAACCCAAACACCTCTCAACCAGCGCCGCATGGGGGTGTCTTTTTTAGGGGACCCCCCCCCCCAAACTGATGGGTTTCATTTTGGTTTCCCTTTAAAGCCAAAAATCGGAGTACCCTCAAAACTACCCACCCATTTTGGCCTAATTTGGCCCAATGCTGCTTTTAGGCCACCATTTCGGGGTCTGTGGACATCGGGCACTTCCTCCTAGCGAAATCTCACCGAATATTGGCCGTTGTAGTGTCAGCAGGTTCAGGGCTATTTTCTTTAAACAAGAGACTACTCTACAAGCGCTGATAGAACCAAACGTCAATGCGTGCTACATTCCCGCTGCTCAAGTGATGTGTTCTTCTTAATTTCGAGGGGCGGCAGCCATGATTGGACAATATGAATTATCGATTCGGGCGAGGCAAACGGCAGCCTTCACGGGTGTTTCTCAACATACAGTGCAGTAGATGGCAAAAAGACCTGCACCAATTTGGAGGTGGCTTGTCCCAGTCATTTTCCATACGAACTGCATGATTCTTGTCCATCAGGGGACACAGTGGGTGGCTTCCTTGTTTCCAATTTGAGACCAAAAAGGGTCCGAATCCCGTGTTCAGAACCCAGCGGCCCTTGAGACCTGCATCGATCTGACTTCCAGGCTGTCTCATGGGACGTGGGGGGACGTAGGGCGTTCCCCTTGGCCCTTGGAACCTCCCAAAGTGGTAGCTTCAATCAAAAATCATGGAACAAATGCAAGCAAGTCTTAAAGGGAATTCCAGTGACTAAGTCCGGGTCCCTCATCAAGATGAGTGAAAGATGAGTGCTTCTCAATCTGACTTGGGGCTTTCCCTTCAAATCCACCACGATTCAAAACGCGTATTTTGAGGGTACACAACATGAACCCAGCAGGTTTCCCAAAGCAGAGAGAGTCACGAAGATTTTCAGAGGCTCCGAGGCTTTTTGCGGGTAACCTCACATTTTGACCGTTGCTCGCGCTTTGTCCTCAGCGAGGTCACTAGAAAGGGTCGTCAGCTTGTCAACTTCCATAAGAATCGAGACTCTGAGTTTAGTCACTGCACTAGCTCTGAACCACTTGCCCCGTTGAACAGAGGAAGTAAGGATAAGGTCCATGCCCTACTTTGCCCTAAATCGGCCTTGGGTAGCGGAAGCCTTTTTGCGCAGATGGCAGGTACCATCGCGAGCTCTTGCAGTATCACTACCTGCTCTCTGATGTGCATCTCAGCAGCATCCACCAGGCACCAGGGCTCCAAGACCCCCTACGGCTTCCTCTAACTGAGTGTAGCTGTGAGAGGGCACCTGGAAGGTGAGGAGGTGGCAAATAGTAACTGAGTGTATTTGTCATGAACCCCAATGCTTCAAGGGTCTGCAAGACTCCAGGCAGGAAGATTTAGGCGAGTTGATTTCTAGCAGCTTGTGCCCAAGTTTGTGACCTTTGGATAGCGGTTAGAGAAAGAGGGAATCCAAGCCGGCCATGAACCCAAGCTGCCCCATCCAGATGGGTTCAAGAGGACTCCAGCTGTCGGGAAAAAACCAGCTGCTCAGGTGTGTGAATTGTCCTGTAGGATCCCAGGGGAGTTGTTTCCCACTTCTGTACCAACAACCCGCCCATGGTTCCCACTTTCCACCAAACCTCCCATGGAGAATGCGTCATGGCCTTCCATTGGTAGAGACGCGCTTGCAATCTCCACGAATCCTTCGAGCTCGGATTGCGTGAGCTCCGCAAGCTGAGAGGGTCAGAGCTTCGCGGTCAGTGCGCAAATGGGGAAATCTCCATGCGCCGAATCGAACATGGGGTGACTTCATGGTCCCCTAGCTCCCCCAAATAGTGCCCTTTTTAGCCCCTTTTTGCGGGGTTTTGCGTTCCCAGACTAAAATAGACGACAGAAAAAGGGTACCTTTATTCTCACCTCTCTACTGGAGGACCTAGTCCCTCAATTTGGGGTGGCGACCACCGAGGTACATCGAGCAGATGGGGCAAGAGGCAGACTGGGTCGCCTGGTTCGATGCGGACGCCCGGGCCCTGGGCGAGGTGGTGGACGAAGGAGGCAGAATAAGGGCCAGGAGCCAAGTCTTGGTTTTGTGCTGGGTGAGTCAAAAGCAACAGGGGAGAAGGAAGTCTTTTTCGGATGTTGGCCTGAAACAGCCATGTTTTTGTTCCATGTGTAGTGGATTTATAATAAAAGGGGGAGGGGTCGGATAAAATCAGCTGCGAGCTAAAAAAATCCTATAGGTGTCCATTGCCCTGGGCAAATTTTCCGGAGAAAGTGTCGCAGCGCGGTATCTTGGAAGCCTTTGAGCCTTGCGTCCAACTTCCAAGGAGCCAAGCCGAGGAAACAGGGAACCGAGCCAACTCTCATTAGAGAGGCTCCCCCGGACTCGACTCTTGGCGAATTCGGGAGGGACGTGGAAGGAGCTCTGAGTTTCCTGTACTTTCTTGGGGAAGCAAGTCAGAGCCAAATCATCTCATCACATCTTCCATCTTCCTCTTTTTCTTTGCTCCAAACGGCATCCCCCATCCTTTCCTTTGAAATACCGTGGATGGACAAAATCCTGCACCACCTAAGAAACCCTGGAATGATGATTCTCCTGCAATACCAACAAATTATGGTTTCAACCATGGTTTCAAAGTGGTGCGAAATGGATTTCGCAACCATGTGCAGTAGCTCTCCTTTCCTTTTACCTTTCTTCCCCTGCTCACTTCCTGAGCTCATGAACTTTAAACTTTTTGGGAAGACAATTTTAGCGGTAAATTCAAAGTTTGGACTTTTTTTGGGCCATCCACTCGGCCAGTGCGAGCCTGTCGGCCCAAAAACCGCGCAGCCGGCCCAACCCAGCCGGCCCCAAACCGCCCAGGTGGTGCTGTTCCGGTCACCGCAGCCGGGGTTCCGGGGCGCGAAGCCGCTGCTCTTCGGGCGCCCGGGCTTGAGCTACTCCATGGCCACCTTGGCGCTGCGCCTGGACTGGGTGGCGCCTACGCGAAGTTGGTTTGATTGGGGGGGAAAAAGTCGTGGGGCTCAGTTTTTGGGGGGCTCCCTCAAAGAAAATGGCGGATGTGTCCTATTTTGGATTGCTGTTGAAAAAGCAACCCAAAGGGAACAGGCAACTCAGTTTTTGGGGGCTCCCCCCAAGGAAAACGGCGGGTGTCCTTTTGGATTGCTGTTGAAAAAGCAATCAAAAGGGAACTATAGGTAATAAAACATACCTAGCTGTCCAACTATTTTTTGGGAGACCGCACCCTCCGTTTGGCTGTAGTCCGCATACCTGCATCTTCCAAGAGGTGCATAATTTCAGCAGTTTCGGGCACAACCATGTTTTAAGTTGAGACGGCGCATTTTGATGCAAACTGCGCTTTTCCGCTTTTCAGCATCAGGGTGCATATTCGAGGTTATGTGGCGCTTGTTCTTGCTAGGCGGTCCCCTCGCCGCCGTGGGACTGTCACAACTTTTCTCGTCATTTGCTAGTTTCAACGGTGATAGCATGTTGGTCGTGGCAGTTTTGTTATTTCTCAAGGCAGTAGGACTCAGGGACCTTCGCACGCATGGCGCGTTGCGCGCTCTGCGGTGTGTCCGGGCACAACCTTCGTGGATGCATCTGACTATAGGAAGCTTCGTGCAGAGCAGCATGATGCATTGTCAACTGCGCACTCGCTCAACCCCCCCCCATGATAAGAAGCTTGTCCCCATGATAAAGCCAAAATGGTAACGTTTGTTGTCAACTGCACACTCGCTCAACCCCTCCCATGATAAGAAGCTTGTCCCCATGATAAAGCCAAAATGGTAACGTTCGTTGTCAACTGCACACTCGCGCTTCCCACGGCGTCGAGGGGACCGCCTCCCTTGTTCTTCATGCCAGTATGCTGGTTGCAAGGTGCCGGTCGGATGTGACGCACTTGACTTCGCAGCACTAGCGCCGCAGTGATCTATTTTGTCTTTATCACGCCTCTTGAGTATTGGAGGTCCGGCAAATAGCATCCAACCACTTGTTCCAGGCGCAGAACTGGGTCATGAACTGGTTCTACTGCTGCTGCGCGGCGAAGGTTATAGCCATTTCAAGCAACACTCACAGCGGGAGTGGTAAGATCTCTAATGGCTTCAGGAATGCCAAATGTTTTTGCTGAGTTGTTGAGGCCATTTGCGACTAAATCTTGGCGCATGTTTAGCTTGAAAATGCCTTCCTAACTTCAGAAGGGCATGTCTTGCATAGTGATTAACGGCGCTCTAGGATGGAAGGCCAATCTGCTTTAGGCTGGTTTGCATGCAAGCCAAGAAGGTTGGAAGCGTGAAACGAGGAAATATGAGGAACCACGCCAACACAAAAAATGTAAGTTGCTACTTCAGCAGTTGCCGCGAGATTGCTGCTGGATAGCTTTGTTTCTGCTGCACACACGAGAGAATTTCAATTTCTGAATTGCAACAGGGCTTGCCATCGCAGCCCTAGAAGGAAAAGACCCCGAGTTGTGTTGCCTTGGAAAGACTCAGGCAACTGCGTCCAAATTTGCAACAACGAAACGGCGATAGTTTGCGGCCAAACGGCGATAATTTGTGGCCAAACGGCGATTTTTACCGAACCACATTCATAGCGCTGGCCGGTTCACTTCACACGCTGCTCTATTACATGGGCTCTCCCGTAAGGGCTGTCCTCGCAAATGACTGTCGATCATTATTCTGGCTGCAGTCATGTTTAAAAAGAATATGAGTAAGCAGCCACAACATATTAAGTGCAATTAAACTTGAATGTATCTTTGCTGATGCTGGCACTGTCTGAAACCAATAAGTGGTGATGTGATTTGTGTTGGTGGCGTGCTGTGCCGAGAGGGTGCGAGGGGTGACTGCGACTGGCAAAAAAGTGAGGAGCTTAAGCTACAGGGCTCGCATGTCCTGCTGGGTGAGCACGTCTTGACACGTTGCTTTGCGCGCACGAGTCTGGAATTCTCAGGATGTTGGTTCCAGAGCCTTCGGGGCTCTTGAGCGCCACCATTGACAGATGCGAATGACAGTATGCTCAGCCCCAAATCCTGCACACGTGCTTGAACAGCGGTACTGGCTTTGCTCAGGGATGCGCGGCAGTAGCAGGATTTTTCCTGCTATCCAAAGATTTTCAGCGACTTTACAATCTTGGCATTTTAGTTGCAATCCCCTTCACACACCTCCAGGCGCATTTGTCCGCACTGAAGTGGGGCAATGATGCAAAACAGCTCTGCCAACATTGAACCTGCAACATTGAACGCAACTACAGGAAATTCGCAAAACGGCAAGTTTTGATTGAAACGGCTGAAATTGATTGAGCCGGCAACATTTTCTGCAGTTTGGCCAAGCGGCAAAAATTGCGTACCCTCAGAAGATCCAGGTATTTAGCAGACCCCAAGCGTAAGACTGGGGCTCTTTGGGAACCTACAACATGGGTGCCTAAAGTCTCCATGACGCTTAAGACATGGTTGTGCTATTGGTGTTTTGTTTTCCTTCAACGTCCCTCTCTGTTTTTCAGGGTACATTTGTTGTAGGCGGCTGCGGTTGTCAAAACCAATGGTATCCCATTTTGGGGTAGGTGCACCACCCATTTTAATCTCCTTTGTGGGGACTGGGACGTTCACTGGGGGTACGATTTGGCTTATGACCCATACCCAGGTGGGTTTCAATTCGACGCCAATCGAATCGAGTCGCCCCGTGAGCTCCAGGCGGAGTTCATGGACACCTTCCCCATCTTCGTGCGGCCGGCGCACCTGCGCCGCTTCCGCGGCTTCTTGGAGACCAGCTTCCAGGCGGCGCCGAATAAAAAGCCCGCGCCGGGCTCGGGGCGAAAAACGGGAGAACAAGCCCGGCCGCCCCCCCCCCAAAAAAAAAAAAACAAACTGCGGAGGACCCCGGCTTGGACACTGTTTGCTTTTGGCGACCCCCCCGCTTTTTTCGAGTGCATTTGTTTTGGGGGGGGAAAAGCGCCTCGTTTGTAGGGCGGAGCAGCCGGATGTCACAAGCCGTATTTCGGTTTTGATGATTGAGGGCAACCCGTCAATCCTGAATTCTGCCAGATGGTCGCGTTTCTTTTCTTGTGATGGTGTCACACTACGGATCATCGAGTAGAGAGTTCCCCAATTTTGATCAACCCAGTGAAACATGCTTTGGGAGGTCCAAGTTGTTCAGTAGTTGCGCTCAAGTTGTTCCCAGATATTTGGGATTGTGTGTCCCTTGAGCATGGTTGTCGTTGGGAAGCGTTTTATATGTTTGCTAATTGTGGTTTAGTGGGAAATCCCCACTTAACTGCTAAAAATTAAATGTTTGCTCCCGGTCAACGTCAACCAAGTGTGCTAAAACGGCCCGGGAGATTTCTAAGAGGCCTGGCTCATTGTGATGTGTTTCTGGTGGTCAACAGATTTGGGGCCAGGGTTATGACACGAGCGACGCCCAGAAACGTTTTAGAAAGTGGTTCTACTACCTGGTGTCACGGTTCTTATGGTGAGGCGTGAAACCTTTACAACCATGCTGGTAAAACGAGAGTGGATGGGTTTTGAGCACGGCACGTATGGCAGTACTCCCTTCGAAGGGCTTGTGGCACCCGACGGGGCAAAGCAAAGCCGGGGATCCGGAGGAGGAGTCCCCAGAAGAAGCGATGCTTTTCGTCTGACCAATGCTCAGTGGAGGTCCCTTACAAGTTTCTTCCCCCCAGTTGGTTTTCCAGCAGCCTCGAGATTCATTCTCCTCGAGATTCATTCTCCATGACTTTCCCGGTAGTTCTCGTCTTCAACTTGCTTTTCCTGGATATTGATGCTTTGTTTTAGAAGTCGCCTAAAGCTACTAACACTCCTCTATGTTCGTGAGATCTCAGAATTGGTCCCTTTTTACGGTCTCCCCGTCCGGAATTACCCGCAAAACGCCTGCAAAATGCACGCAAACGCAAAACCCCGCAAACGCCCGCAAATCAGGAAAAGACGTTTTTGGGTTCGAGGGTCGCCCAAAACTCGTAGAAACCATCTAGAACGCCCAACACGCCCAAAACTACCAGGAAACCAAAACGCCTAGGAAAAGGCTGGAGAATGAATCTTCAGGAATGTGAAAAAACCAAAGAACGCCACAAGACAACTAGGGCTCTGAGGCAATGTATCGGAAGAGGAAGCAGAAGCAGAAGCAGCCATGCATTACTCATTGCAACGACGAGGTTTTCTTTGGTGCATTTTGCCAAGGGCTGTTAGGACTGAATAACTTTTTGCCGTAACTAATGGGTTTTCCGAACTAAACCACTAAAATTTAGTCACTTTTAGCAGGGCTTCGCAGATTTCGCAACCGAGTTTTTTTGGTCGCTCCGAAACCTCCATACTCGAGCAACATTCTCCGAGATGAAGCCGGACTGGACCGGACAGGGGTGAAGACATGGTCTTTCAGTGGTCATGCACTTAAGTTGTGATGGTTTGTTTCCTACCCCAAAAAGAGCAGTTCCACATTGCCCAGGTCACTTGATCACTTGCAAGCCAATACCCCCTCTCCAGACAGCCAGGAGAACGCTTTCGACCTTTTGGTCTCCAAGCTATATCCCAAAACCATCGTTTCAACTTTCCACCATGTGCTTCTCCTTTGTTTTTTTGGGTAAAACAAAACACACAAACAAACAAACAAACAAACAAACAAACAAACAAACAAACAAACAAACAAACAAACAATCAAACAATCAAACAATCAAACAATCAAACAATCAAACAATCAAACAATCAAACAAACAAACAAACAAACAAACAAACAAACAAACAAACAAACAAACAAACAAACAAACAAACAAGCAAGCGAGCAAGCGAGCAAGCGAGCAAGCGAGCAAGCGAGCAAGCGAGCAAGCAAACAAACAAACAAACAAACAAACAAACAAACAATCAAACAATCAAACAAACAAACAAACAAACAAACAAACAAACAAACCAACCAACGAGCGAGCAAGCGAGCGAGCGAGCGAGCAAGCAAGCAAGCAAACAAACAAGCAAACAAACAAACAAACAAGCAAACAAGCAAACAAACAAGCAAACAAACAAGACAGATACAATAAGAAGTGGAACACTGTCTTTTGGTTGGGAACGATCGCTTCGACCTTTGGCTTGTCCGTTTCAATCGCTGGACGCCCAGGAGCCGGACTTCGAATCTGCGTACCAGGCCTGGCGCGTTGCCACCGAAGAGGCCGGCAGAGTCGTCGATGTCGATGGGCGTGAGGGTTTGCGGCAAAACGGCAGCCATGGGAAATTTGCCCCCCAAAAAGCCAAAAAGGGATGGGTCATGTTTTTCAAATGTCAATTTGTCCAAGTGTGTCCTTTTTTGGGATTGGTGAACAGGGAGATCCATTTTGGGGCATATAGGTGGAAATGGTGGTCGACCCGCCTGGTGGGGGGTGGGCAGATGGGTTCCGACCCTGTTAGGTTCCCACCCCCTTCACATGAAAGGCCGAGCGAAATCACGCCAGCGTTTCTCAAAAGGGTTTGCCTTGCCCGTGACCAAGTCATACCCACTTTGCTACAGGTGATTTCCACAAGACACCCACAGACTTCACGGCCCTCACGCCAGGCCGCCCTGGTACATGCGCGCCACGACTCGTACATGGCGGAGGGAGAGTGCCGCCCGGACAGGGAGATTAATGTGTGTGTGTGTGGATGGCGTGAATGGTGCCTGTGTGTGTGTGTGTGTGTATGTTTGTGTTTTTGGAGTCCACCTTCAACTTGTGGGGGTCACCCTGTTTGACACAGAATCACCTACATCGTAAAGAAAGGATGAGAGTTTGAGAAGCGCTGGTTCCCCAAATTTGACATTTGCCACTTGATTCGCAATGCAGTGAATGTATTTGCATGTGCCGTTGCTGATTTAGCTGACGTGTACCTGTGCGCTCAAGCACAATGTGAAGTACTTGTCTCCAGCCTCGACAAAACATACAGAGTTACTGCTTGCGAAGGCTTGCAGAGTAGAAACTCTGGCATGTTGTGCGCTTAGTCAATAGATGAGTCTGGCCTAAACTTATTCCTACAGGTATGTCGCCTGGAAATGCTGGGCAATTGCAACGCCCAGATACTTTGGCCAAAACTGTACCAGCCATGGCTCCGGAAGTCCTCTCTGCGGTTGTTTGGTTAAGTCCCAAATGACATTACCCAGACCTCCTTCCTGTTTTCGAAGAGGGGAACCCCCGCAACACTCAAAACCAAGGTTCCTGTTTTTTCATGGCCACTGGAGATTGCGGTTCTGTTAGAGGCAACCACTTTGCCACCTTTGGAGGGGGTTTCCCTGTAAAGTCAATCAGAAAACGTGCCTCTTTTTTCTCCAGAGCCACTGGGATAATGATATCTACATATACATATATAAATGATACACACGTAAAGCTGTTTTGAAGCCATTCACAGAGCAACGTTGCAAAGTAGCTGGCAACATGCCGCCATTCCACATGGCCTAAATTTTGGGCATTGGCAGAGGGAGCCGGCAGATGCTCTCCTCAAGCTTCCCAGCCGTCCCTTCAGGTTAGGGTTCAGCGGGGCTTCCGTGCAACCCACCAGTAAAACTTTTAGCAGAGAGGACAGCGCGGAGTAGCATATCCAACATTTGGGACCGCGGTCTAGTTATTTACGGGCGGCCCAACGAAATGTCACATTTGTAGAGCCAGGGAAGGAGGCGGGCGAGCTGCTGTTTGCGTTTCGGTTGCCAGGGCTTTGTGACAAAACCGGATGTTGCAACGATCCAAACTCCATGGTGATTCGATGCGGGGTCCGCAAGCGTCAGGCTGTTGAGAATGGTCAGCATGGGCACTGGGGCTGATTTCACCGGGCTCTGAGCTTCTGGTCAAAACGGTGTTGCTTGGTACGATCCATTTGACAAATCCAGAATGCAAACAACAATATATCCCATGTCAGAGCGCATAGCAAATTTCGATGAGTTTCCGTTGCCGCGAAAAGTGAGGGGAGCCCTCTGGCAACATCCGGGCTCAAATGTCCAGAGCAAGGGAAAGGCTGGCAGCGTGAAACGCGCCTTTTGATTGAGCTCTTTGAGTCAAAAGGACTAAATCGCCCCCGTCATATGAATTAGCCAGCGAGATACAAACCCCATGGTGTGTCCAAAGATTCCTGAGTTGCTTGGGGAGCAACGAGCACCAACTTGCATGTGCATGGACAAACCACCTGCGAAAAATGGCTTATCCACCAGCATCCCAGGTGCCTGGCATGGATTGCGTCCCCCAACAGTCCCCTTTTTGGACGTTTGAGTGCCTCCCAACCTCGTCTTCCCTGCCTTCCAAGGTCCGCAAAGCGCCTTGCCCACGTATTTGCGTCTTGGCGCACGAACTGAGCCGCAGGGCCCCAGGGGATGTTGTCTCCAGCACCCCGCCCCATGTTTAGCACGTAGCCTTTGCACTGAAAGCAAGCTCAAAAAGGCAAAGCTGCAAACGCCAGTGTCTTTGGCAGACTCATCCCCAAAGGGGTTACTTGTTGTGACCCAAAAGCAACCCCATGGCCTCTCCAGTCCCAAGAAAACAACTCAACGGCGGAAATTTACGTGGGACGACCAAAGGAGCAGGGTTCCGTTTTTTGACTACCCCAAGGCAGACTTCCAGGTTGGTTCGTTCCCCCAAAAGGGAAACTTTTGGGTTTCAGTCTAACCAAGGTCAAGAAGCGGAACCCTGCAAAGGAGACGCCAACCCCCACGAACCCGCGGAGGTATCACTTCCACCGGGAGGACTACTCCTGGGCCCTGGAGGACGGCGCCCTCTTTGGCCTGCAGCCGGAGGACCAATTTCCGGAAATTCGGGTTGAGGGCTCGAGGGCTCTGGGTGTTTTTTCCTGGGTTTGGTCGTCTCCAACAAGGACAAATGTTGATCTTTGTGCCTCTTCCCTTTTTTTGTGGGCTTTGGGGTTGTGTCTTGTTGGTTTGGTGTCTTTGAGGGTGCTCTTGTGATTGACATCAGATCAAAGGGCTTGGAGTCGATTTGGAGGAGTGGCCTTTGGGGTGTTACATGTAAAGGGAAATGCGGGTGAGTGTTGCTGGAGGGTGCCCTTTTCATGTTTGAAAGGGATCAACAATCATGACGAAGCCCATGTTTGGTTATTTTGACCCACAGGAGTGGGTCGATCCCTATGTGCCATAGATTTGGAGTGGAGCCATGTCGGGTGGGATCATCCCAGAAAGCTTTCGTCAGCCAGACTACACACCCATATGCCTCTCTCTCTCTCTATATTTATAATATATATATATATATATATATATACAGACCGAGGAACTTGAAAGCCTCGGCCAAGTTCTGGTACTGACCATAGGATCCCACATGCGAGGTGCATCCTGCTTGGTTGATGGGGAGAGTGCCCCCTTGCTCGCTCTCAAGCAAGTCAGTGAGTTGCGTAAGTCACAGCAGAGTCTTGAGACGCATGCTGTGCCAATTGGTTTTCCTCAGGCAGCCATGAACACGATTTCAACAAGCACGACCTTTAACCTGGAGGTTCTATGCACTCACGGGCAAAAGTCCGGCAATGATCATGTCACTCGGACTTCAAGTCCAATTGAGGTCCTTTGCCAGGTAAGTCAAGTCTTTCAATTCTGCCGATCTGCAAATTGGGGAACTCATGCAACTGAATTGAACCGATACTGTGTCACAATGTGGATGTTTGTTGAGATGGGTGGATGTCCGCAGGGCCCTGATTTGTACATTATGTATATATATATATATATGTACATATATATATATATATGTATATGTATATGTATATGTATATGCATTTGTATGGAGAGAGAGAGGTGTGTGTGTGTCATATGAACACAAAAACGATACACGTTGATGGCAAATGCATGAATTGTACAGGTGTGTAGGGATTAGGCCGCCTACCCCGCCCGCTGAGCTCCGCGCTAGGTGGCTTCATTCAGAGCTTGGCGGCTCCAAAGCGGGCTTCTGCGACTTCGTCGCTCCGGCCGACCACCAGTCTTAGTCCTGGCCAGGCTTGTCAGTGTCGACTTTTGCTTGGCATTCAGCGCCCCCCGTCCACAATTTCACTTGAAGCGTGGTTCAAAAACAAAATCTCACGCCGGCCAAAATGGGCTCGTCCAATTTGCCAACCAGCGATCCTCCCTGCTCGTAACTCGTGACATGTCGGCGCAGTGGATCCATCGACAGCGTGCGCTGCCCCCCCCCCCCCCCCCACCTCCGACCCAGCTGCCTACCTGCACGGGTCGTGGTTGAGCGACGGCGAACGTGGGCTCCTGAAGGTATACATCTACATGTATATACATATTATATATACATTTATAATATATATATATACATATACATATTTCAAGTCTGTCTATATGGTACCCCCCTCCCCCCCGCCAAAGAAACAGATAAAATAACACACAAGCAAACAAACAAAAAGCACCACCACACACTCGTATACATACATACATACATACATATACATACATATACATACATACATACATACATACATACATACATACATACATACATGCATACATACATACATACATACAGACATACATACAGACATACATACATACATACATACATACAGACATGCATGCATACATACATACATACATACAGACATACATACATACATACATACAGACATGCATGCATGCATACATACATAATACATACATACATACATACATACATACATACATACATACATACATACATACATACATACATACATACATACATACATACATACATACATACATACATACATACATACATACATACATACATACATACATACACACATACATACATACATACATACATACATACATACATACATACATACATACATACATACATACATACATACATACATACATACATACATACATACATACATACATACATACATACATACATACATACATACATACATACATACATACATACATACATACATACATACATACATACATACATATACATACATACATACATACATACATACATACATACATACATACATACATACATACATACATACATACATACATACATACATACATACATACACATACATATATGTATATATATATATATATATATACATGGGGGGCCACAAACTGTTGCTTCACCTGGGCGCCATTGTGACCAGCGACCAGGCTTAGGGCGATTTTTACAGCGCTTGCTGGAAAATCCATGGGTCTCGCGACTGGCAACTCGCATTTTTTTTAAATCCCTTGCTCCCTTCTTGCGCCAGTAAGCAGCCCCCTGTTGTATAGTGTTTGTAGTGTGTCTGCCTCAAGGGGCCGGAAAACATCAACATGGATCCCGGGTGCACCTGCTGCTTCTGGTCTTCTGTTTCAAATCCAAAAATGGTCAGAGTTGTCCCCCAGCATTCGTAGCTGCTCATCGCAAAGGACTTGAGAAGTCTTCTTTAAAAAAAATGCACAGCTACGCTAGAAAAAGCGAGATTGGTCATGAAACAAGAAAACTATTGATTTTTTTTTCTTTTTTCGCAAGTAGGCCCGACGGGATTTGAGTTTGAATAATGTGGAAGGTAGGCATGGAAGGTCTGGTTGTCTGGGTGCGCTGCCATTGCGCCACGGGCCCGTTGATCTATTGCAAGAGTTGGTCAGAAACGTTCGGCCCCTGGACTTCCAGGTCGTCCCCCCGATACGTGCCAGCCTGGCCAGCCTCTGCGGCCGCGCTCTTCTTACTCCCCAAACTTCACCCGGGCTGCGGTTGCCAAACATCCCGCTGAGCCGCCTGTGTCAGACTCCCGACATGCCACCTTCAAAGCGCCGGAGTCCACCATCACCCAAAAGCTTATTGCTCCTGGGCTCGGATGCGATGCGCTGAAGCGCCCTGGCACAAAGCTGACAGACGAGGAGCTGATGATTTACTTGGTCTCACGTGGAGTTACACACTGACAGTGGAAAGTGGTTATGTCCTACAAATGGCGCAAATCAGGGCACATCACACAGCTTGAAGCGATTGCAGTGCAAGACTTGTTGAGGAAGATGGCCAGATCCGCTGCAGGGCTGGTGAGCATCCCGACCAAAGGTTGGAGCAGCGCTCGCCAGCTTCAGCAACCGCTTCGTCGCTGTTGCGCCCTTTTGATTGCCTCCAACTCTCGGCTCTTGGTTGGCTGGGTGAAGTCCGAATGGAACCCGGCTGACGGTCCCAGCAGATGGACCGTCAAAAGTGCAATGGCAGATGCCTAAAAGGGCAAAAGTGCTTGCGAAGCGGTCCAAGCAAGAGCGGAGAGTTGAGAGGCAAGCTTTGGGTCAACTACGGTTTCAAGTGGTAGCACCAGCCACGGAGAGCCGATACCTCACAAGTGTCTCGCGATTCCTTGCATTTCTTCGTTTCCATGGCAAGTCTTACCCTTCATCTTTCATTTCCTTGGACCGAGAGGTTTCACATTTCATTGAAAGTTTGTGGGAAGAAGGGGATCCCAAAAGCCAGCGTGTCCGGACTTGCCACTTCATTCCTGCAGTCAAACCGCATTTGCTTGCAAGTTGGCGGCTTCATTCCGCCCCAGAGTTGCCAGCGCGGGCGCCTCCTTTGACTGCATTGTTGGTGTATGCGCTGGCCCAGCTTGCATTTGACAGGCATTTGGCCTGACACAGCTGTTTTGATTGTTCTTGGTTCCCACACTTTTGCACGATCAGGAGAGCTTGTTGCAGCTCGGGTAGGTGACTTCGTCTTGCAGGGCGCCTGATGTGGAAGCAATGTAGTTTGTCACCCGCCCCCTTTCCCCCCCTTTTGTGCTTCTGCCATCTCACTCCCCAGCTTGAGCGGCTACGTAAAGTCGCGCTATTGAGCGCAGAAAGGGAGGAGGGAACCCTGTGGCGGCTGGTGATGCGGGTATTGACCCTGAAGGGGGCCCAGCCTGGATGGTTGTGGGGTTGGCCAACGTTCGGTGTTCCTTCTCAGGCGTGCGGTGGCGGCCGCTATGGATGTCCTTGGGTCTTTGTCCTGGTTGGGAGCGGGTGCCCGTCTGAACCGGCGTCGAGCAGTTTCAATAGGTTTCTTGTTTCAGGACCAATCTTGCTTTCTAGCACCGCCCAGGGGAGCCCAAAAACAGGCTGCCCGCCAACCATGCACTCTGCTGGTTGGTGATGCGGGTATTGACCCTGAAGGGGGCCCAGCCTGGATGGTTGTGGGGTTGGCCAACGTTTGGTGTTCCTTCTCAGGCTGAGCTCAGGCGTCCGGTGGTGGCCGCTATGGATGCCCTTGAGTCTTTGTCCTGGTTGGGAGTGGCTGAACCGGCGTCGGGCAGTTTCAATAGTTTACTTGTTTCAGGACCAATCTCGCTTTCTAGCGTAGCTGTGCAGGTAAAAGAGTGCGGGAGTTGAGGAGCGCTATATTTAGGGTACCAAACGCACGTGTAGCGTTGCGATGGGAAGACGTGGTGAACCCGGAGCCCTTAAAGTTTCCTTGTGCCAAAACGTGAAGATTCGGATGGTTTGAACGTTTCCCTTGTCTGGGACTTGTGTGTTTTGCTCTGAACCCTGACTTGATAATTGAGCAAACCACAAGCCTTCCAAACAATTACCCCGGCACGAGACCCCAAACAGTGATAGGCGGCGGTCACACGCTGCAGAGTTTGTGCGGGCAGCGCCGCAAAACGGCGGTTGTTGTCAGGAAGCTGCAACATCATTTTGCGGTATTTGGCTGCGCAAGCATCACTACAAAAGGCAAGATCTGTGTGTTTGTTTCAACAGGGTGCCTGAGTTAGTGAGTTAGCTAGCTAGGTAGCTTCTTCCTTGGTTCTCGTTGTTTTGTCTTCTTTCTCTCTATGAGAAGCCGTCGCAGCACAGAAGCACCATCCAAGCATGCACAAGCTCGCGCAGACAGGGCGGGAATCGAGCCCGGGACCTTTCGCCGGAAACCCGTGCCGCCGGACCACGAGACAAAACCCCCACGGTCCCTGGAGCCGCCAAAAAAGCCAAAAAAAAACGAGTTTGCGCGAGCCTGCGCAATTGAAACGCGCTTCAACATCAAGCAAAAGCAAGAATCTGCGGTAAATACCACGCGAAACGCTCGCGGACAGAAGTCGACGCCTCACTTTCTGGGAGCCTTCTGGGAGCGGTACTGCGCAGTCGAACACCTCACTTTGCGAGCCTGCGCAGTCGAAACGCACTTCGACATCAAGCAAGAGCACGAATCTGCGGTACATACCACGCAAAACGCTCGCGGACAGAAGTCGACACCTCACTTTGTGCGAGCCTGCCAGTCGAAACGCACTTCGACATCAAGTCTGCGTACATACCACGCAAAACGTCGCGGACAGAAGTCGACACCTCGAGCCTGCGCAGTCGAAACGAACTTCGACATCAAGCAAAGCACGAATCTGCGGTACATACCACGCAAACCGCTCGCGGACAGAAGTCGACACCTCACTTTGTACGAGCCTGCGATCGAAACGCACTTCGACATCAAGCTCTGCGTACATACCACGCTTCGCGGACAGAAGTCGACACCTCACTTTGTGCGAGCCTGCGCAGTCGAAACGCACTTCGTCAACAAGAATCGAGGGTGCATACCACGCAAAACGCTCGCGGACAGAAGTCGACACCTCACTTTGTGCGAGCCTGCGCAGTCGAAACGCACTTCGACATCAAGCAAGAGCACGAATCTGCGGTAAATACCACGCAAAACGCTCGCGGACAGAGCGGGCACCTCAATCTGGCACCAAGGCCTTTTCTCTTACCGTAATTACCCCGGCACGAGACCCCAAACAGTGATAGGCGGCGGTCACACGCTGCAGAGTATTGCGCGGGCAGCGCCGCAAAACGGCGGTTGTTGTCAGGAAGCTGCAACATCATTTTGCGGTATTTGCACGCACACTCACAAAGACGAGGACACGTGTGTGGGAGTAGAGACACATGCAGCACCAAGAAGAAAAAAGGCGCACAGGCATGGCCAGCAGGTCCATGAGCAGCACATATAGGTGAGACGGCAGAATCGCAGGACAGGGCGGGAATCGAGCCCGGGACCTTTCGCCGGAAACCCGTGCCACCGGACCACGAGACAAAACCCCCGCGGTCCCTGGAGCAGCCAAAAAAAGCAAAAAAATCGAGTTTGTGCGAGCCTGCGCAATCGAAACGCACTTCAACATCAAGCAAAAGCAAGAATCTGCGGTAAATACCACGCGAAACGCTCGCGGACAGAAGTCGACACCTCACTTTCTGCGAGCCTGCGCAGTCGAAACACATTTCAACATCAAGCAAAAGCACGAATCTGCCGGCACATACCACGCGAAACGCCCGCGGACGAAGTCGACACCTCACTTTGTGCGAGCCTGCGCAGTCGAAACGCACTTCGACATCAAGCAAGAGCACGAATCTGCGGTACATACCACGCAAAACGCTCGCGGACAGAAGTCGACACCTCACTTTGTGCGAGCCTGCGCAGTCGAAACGCACTTCGACATCAAGCAAGAGCACGAATCTGCGGTACATACCACGCAAAACGCTCGCGGACAGAAGTCGACACCTCACTTTGTGCGAGCCTGCGCAGTCGAAACGCACTTCGACATCAAGCAAGAGCACGAATCTGCGGTACATACCACGCAAAACGCTCGCAGACAGAGCGGGCACCTCAATCTGGCACCAAGGCCTTTTCTCTTACCGTAAGAACCCCTTAGTGTAGACACACTGTTTGGGGAAGAACCCCTTAGTGTAGACACACTGTTTGGGGAAAAACCAGCTGTTTTGCTCTGAGCCCTGACAATTGGGCAAACCACAAGCCTTCCAAAAAAAAACCACCCGGGAAGCCTCAGGACACGTGCCTGGGCTTTCGAGTGGCTAGCCACCTGAGCCCCTGGAAGCACAAGGTGAAGAACGGGTCGTGGCCGGCAGCTCGGAACTGACTTGGGTTGTCGGGGGTTTAGGCTGGGGGTGCTGGGGGTGCTGGGTTTGGGTTTGGAGTTCTCTTGAAAATTCGGTGCATTTTGAAGTTGAAGATCTGTGACACAAGATCTGGTAGTATTGTCATTATAGGTGGTTTCGTTTTGATGACAGGATTGAAACGACCTTATTTTTGCCATCAAAGCGACAAAGTCCCAAGCCGAAAACATTAAAACAAAGATGGCACACAAGGCACTAAACCATCTTATCCACTAGTAAGTCATGTACCATGAATCCGAAACCTTCTATGTTTGCATACGCTGGGGTTGGGCCAAGGTAAGGGGCGTGACCCTAGCAGGAATGGTGGACGTTTCTTGGAGGGGATGGGAAGAAGACAAGGTGTGCGCGCCGTTTGTTGCCTTCTCGGGCCCTCACCCTGGCAAGCCTGGTTGGGTGGATGGCTGGGCGGGTTGGTTGGTTTGGTTGCTTGGTTCGTTGGGTTGGTTTGGGCGGACTGGTCGTTGTCACGCTTGAGGTTGCTTCACGGCGGGAGTTTCAAGGTTTAGGGTTCAACCAGCCTGGGGCTTGTGTGTTGATACTACTATGTCAATGCATGGTGTGTTTGGGCAGGGTTGTGGGTTGGTCGGCTGAAGCGGGGCGGGGTTCAGTGCAGTAACTGCCGCGGGCTTCGGCT